CGTGTGTTGCTACGTGCAGCCGCAATGACTCGACCGGAATGTGTATGTTGTTTCTGCGTGCAGCCACATCAACTGAACACACTTCGTTCGAGTCGTTGCGGCTGCACGTAGCAACACACGCCACTGTATTATACAGTATTCGTCGTCGATATGCTCGGATATATCCGTGCCTTACGAAATGCTGAGATGCTCAGCAATCTTGAAACACATGTTTGATCGATTGAGACTGGTCTGAACTTTCCCCGATTTCCCAATTTCCCACAGTAGCGCTTTTCCGAAAATTTTCCAACCAAAAAATGCATGTGTTCTGTGCATAGTAATAGTTTGGTGCGTGGGGTAACTTTTCTAAGACTTGTGGTAATCATACTCTCCACCAGTAGATAGCACAAACCTACCACATTTTATTTCTGTGTGTACATCGATACTGTCCTCAATTCGATATTCGATTGAGCAGCAAACTAATCAAATGAATTACATTGAATAAATTTTAGGTCAGAAACGACATTTTGGAAGGGCGTTTGCCATGTTCGTTTGTGACACATGCGCTACTCGGTTCTTATTTAGTGCAATCGGAATTAGGTGACTACGATCCAAACGATCACAAGGATCGCAGCTATGTGTCAGAGTTCAAATTTGCTCCAGATCAAACGCCTGAGCTGGAAAACAAAGTGATTGATTTGCATAAAACGCATCGCGGTCAAACGCCAGCCGAAGCCGAACTACATTACTTGGAAAATGCCAAAAAGTTGGCGATGTACGGTGTGGATTTGCATCCAGCCAAAGATTCCGAAGGTGTTGATATTATGCTTGGTGTTTGTGCGACCGGTTTGCTGGTTTATCGTGACAAGTAAGCAATGAAAAAAAAATATTGGTTTCGTTTTCGTGATAGAACAGGAAAAAAAACACACCGGTGAATGAACCTAATGCTAAACTGTCTAATTTACAGATTGCGCATAAATCGTTTTGCATGGCCAAAAATTTTGAAAATCTCCTACAAACGCCACAATTTCTACATAAAAATCCGACCTGGGGAATTTGAGCAGTACGAATCGACGATTGGCTTCAAATTGGCCAATCATCGTGCCGCCAAAAAATTATGGAAGGCATGCGTTGAACATCACACATTCTTCCGTTTGATGACACCGGAAACGGTCGAAAACAGTTTGTTTCCGAAATTGGGATCGAAGTTTCGTTACTCGGGTCGAACAATGTACCAGACGAAGAAAGTACCAGTTGATCGGCCAGCACCACAGTTTGAACGAAGCTTAACCGGAAAACGACTAACCAGTCGCAGCATGGACGGTAGTTTGAAAACAAAAAAAAACATATTCCATTGAATTGGATGGAATGCAATGATTGGAATTAATTCACTGATTCATAACTATTCGCAGGTCTCGCTCTTGAGCGTAAAGAAGATAAAGATGCTAGCAAGCGGCATACAATGTCACATCCACCGGATCATATCCCCGAATTGGATTCACCACGCCAATCACGTAGTCCACTGAAGAAAGGCAAAAAGGAACAGGTTAGCAAAGCACATAAGTTCAACATCTTAAAGTGACAGTCGACACAGTCGGTAACATCTAGAATCACGAACCACTTCTTCTTTTAACTAATGAACATTGAACACACTTATTTTCACATCAAATCACATAACCAGCAACAAATTGATACCAATTTTCAATGAATAGATTCTTGATTTTGTTTTTCTTAATTCGTTTCTTATGTCGTGAATTAGAAATTCAAGCGATAGCTTAAAAACCACTTGTGCTATTTGTATAAGAGAAAATTAGGATTTTCTTTTCGTTCATTTGACTCTGCTAAACCACATAGTTCAACACTTGATTAGAATTGAACGGGATAGTTTTTTTTTTCTTCATTTTGTGATTGATTTTTCTTTATCCAATTCTTTCGACATTTTATCTTTTTGTTATTACACACAAAAATTAACCATATAGTTATAATTTATAACTATCGTCTTGCTATCAAATTTATTTTGTTTGAGTGGCGGTCATAACGCCCCGGACGGACAGCATACTCTAATGTAATAAAAACACAGAAGCATGCTATCCGTCCGGGGCATTATGATCAAAAATTCATTACATATTCGGGTTACTATTGTTTCCATTTGTTCATGCTATGGTTTTTGATTGCATTATTGCATTTGAAGAGATGTGGTTTTGTTCTTGTTTATGAACTAAAAATTCTTATTCATAAATTCATTTCATGGAATGCACATATTTCTCATGTTTACTATTCATGACATAAAAATTTACACTTCCACGTACAGATTTACGGGCAATAATATATTATTAACTATACTTAATAACATAATAATAACGGCCGATATATTTGGTCCAACATAACATAATAATAACGTTATTAAGATTCAGCATAATAATAACATAATATGTTACGAAATATGTTGGATTTTTCTTAATCCGCCATCTTAATAATATATTTGCAAATATGTTGGTATCTTATTAACATATTATTAAGAAAAATCCAACATATTGCGTAACATATTATGTTATTATTATGCTGAATCTTAATAACGTTATTAAGTTTAAAAAAATCCCAACATAACTGGGTATCAAAATTGTATTCATAATTTAATAATAAATATGTTGGACAATAGCATATTAATAATATATCGAAAATGTAAATCTGTACTTCCACGTTTTAGATAGGCAAAACACGACGAATGAGAAAAAAATATAGATATATGTGATTTAATTGAAAAGTGTTCAGAGTTTTTGGGGGGTTCAATTCATTTATAGGCTTCAAGAAAAATGAGTTGTTATCTCGCTAGTTGATCAGCAATCATTTAAACGAAGTCGATATGCCTATTAATTGTGTTATAACTTTGGTTGTTGCTTCATTTAAATGCGGCCGCTGATAACTGCGTAAATTTCGTCAAGTTTTGTATTTAAATTGAGTTGATAAATAATAATTGTGCACAACCAACCACGCGCACACATCAAAAACACCAAAATCACTAACCACAAATTCACTCACATTCGTCAAACGAATATTCATCGGATATATTTAGTTGAAACGTGAATCAAGTACTGGTACTGCTTCGGCATCGTCTCAGAGTTCATTAGAGGGTGAATATGAAACCGGTGCCATCGGACCAAATAATACACTAATCGCCACTACTTCCACCTCAAATCAGGTTAACATTAACTAACTTAACTTCTATTCAATCCAATTCATTTTATCATTGTTTATTTGTTTTCTTTATCAATTTATAAATATTTTATTCGTTTCGTTTTGTTTATTTCCGACTCGTTGGAATTCCTTTTTCAATCGTCGATTGTGTTATTGCTTTGAATTCAGTTTCTGGATTGTTTTATATATTTTTATTACGTCTATGGTCTCTTATTTTGCCGTTGTGTGCATTGTATTTTCAATTTTTGATTGCAATCGAATTTGATTATTGAATTGGATAGTATGCTCTAAAGTTCGAATCAAATGCAAACGCCATCAAAAGTCACGAATCCAATCACATAGTGGATGATCCAGATGAATTTGCTTTTGGTCTCTCGTTGTTTGTTTATTTTGTGTATTTTTCTATTTGAATCATTTTGATTGTCCGAATTGGTATTTTCTGTTTAAGGTATTTATGCTTGCATTCTATGCTTTTCCAATCAAAATCAGCATCAAATATTCAACTACTTCGGTTTATTCGATCTGTAGACAATTGTATTTAAACTTTCGACGGAGATAAAATAAACACAATTCACACTTTAAAGCTTTTGCATTCAAAATTGAAGGGATTTACTTTGGTTTGAAGTTACTTTTGACGAAATTGAACAACCAACAAAATTTATTCAACATGAATCATTATACACAATGCATTTAGAATAGGCTTAAGCAAAGTTTTTCACGCACACATACACATACACGTATGCATAAGTATATTGGTTGAGTCGATTGTTTTTGCTTATATAAACGCATTTAAAAGACTTATTTGAGATATTTTTCGGCCGCTTTCCGACGATCCAGTCTTACAAACAAGATTTGAGGGATCAAGCGCCTGGATTGGTCAAGTTTTGAATATGTATTTTTGCTGATAAAAGTAAAGAACACCAAAAGTTGTTGTGCAAATCATGACGTAGATTTTTTTTTTGTTCGGTCCATTTTTCAAAACCAGACTTGTCTATTTATTCCATCAAAATGAAACCCATTGATAAATATTGACCATCCAGTCGCAAGCATTCGGTTTATGTACATTGTATCACGTGTGAATTGTTCAATGCATGCGAACTATTAGAATGTATATATACATATATAATTTTTATATCCAAATATTGATTTTCCATACCCATATTTGATTGCCTATTGAATGCATGAAATTATTCGCTTCATAATTTTTAGCCTAAGTATTGCTAAAAATGTACAGCAAATGAGTTTGCATAAGTGTTAGCAATCAATAGCCTTTTCTCAACAATATTTAATTTTGCGTTTGACTTTAATTTGGAGAATTTCAGTTCACCAGATTTTAGAGAAATATTCTGAATGTAAAAGAATTTTATTTATTCAATTCTAATTTGTGCATGTCATTTTGCTAAATTATAGAAGCCAGCCGGCGGTGTTGCTGTTCTTCCGCCAAGTGGCAAATCTGGAAAGAACAAAGAAAATGAGAACGTTAATGGTGAGTTGGTGGAATTAAAACCGTTTGAATTCAGTTATAATACAAAATTTAACCGCATTTGCAGGTAATGATGCCAAGGACACACCAGTCAAAGCAGATTCACCGGATAAGGATAAGAAAGGGGACAAACGCAAGGTAAACAAACCCTTTGTTGACTATATATTTTTCAAATGCCGAATGTGTTTTCCTTTATTTATCCGTTTCTATTTGTATCGCTCGCTTGGAATTGACAATGACAACAGTAATTTTGAATTTGAATCATTGCAATTTTTTGTTCAAATTTATATCAGAGTTTTAATTATTTTGAATACATCGAATTTGTTAGTTTTCACGGACTGTGCTTAAGTCGAAACGATATCAAAACTTTTGCGAGATTTTGAGCATATTTTATAATGCAAATTTTGATATTTGAATTATTTTGTTGATTGAGCCCTCCGCCGATTTGTAATTTTCTCGTTTCGTTTGATTTTTTTCTTCTGTAAGAAAATACATATTAGAGTTAAATTGAAGCCTTCTTTTTCACTAAACAACATCAATTTGTAAATAGAAGCTCTCCGTAAATGTTGCAACCGAAATTATCATGCAAAGACAGTTTTTAGTGTGCTCCGGACAGCACTTTTCATTGCGTAATCGTTCACAACACCAAATATACACAAACAAAAGCTGAAGATTTATCGATTTTTCTTTTAATTTTTGTGCATAATTTTTCGTTTGGGTTTGACAATCGTACGATCTGACAGTATAATTGGCGAAATCTTTTAGAATCGGATATCATTCTCGCCGTTTCCCAACACATTTAGCTCATTCTATTCCATATTTTGAGTTGAGAATTGGTTTTTCTTCATTTGTTTTTTTTTCTTTTTTTTTCTTTTCTTTTCTCCAATAAAACAAAACAAAAAATCCGCACACATGAATTGTAATCACCTCCCTGCTTGAATGCAATTGTTTGGAATATGCGAAAATTTGCAAATGAATCAAAATAGGGTGGCCTATTCTCGTCTGGTCGCAAATCACCGAAAGATAAGGGCGATAAGGACAAAGGTAAAGAGGAGAGAAAACTTGCGATTGCTATAACTGAACAGCAACCGGAAAAGGATGCAAAACAACAAGAAAAACCAAGTTCACCGAGCCACACACGTCCATATGAGTATACCGAAAACGATGACAATGCAAGTCCAACGCGACGCACTTTCACTCCGGGCGCTTTCCGCTACGACGAGGATCCAGTCTCGAAAGCAAAACGTGATTCAGATGGTGGTCAGCTAAGTCCAAACTCGCAGGCACGTCGCGCAACTGGTTACGCTTTCAATTATGCACCAGGTGATGATGATGCCCTTCGTCAGCAAGCCGAAAAATTGAAATCGGGTGAATTGAGTCCGAAGAGCAAGGATAAAATACCGAAAACCATTGACATTTCGGCTCCACTCAAAGCCAGCAAATCTTATTCGCCAACCAGCGCAGAAAAACCATCTGATATTGCGGCCGGCTTATACAGACCTACTGGCGAATCACGTGGCGATCCACACAGCGGCGCCTTCCTCGACGCCGAACGTGAAGATTCAAAAGTGCCCATTGTCCCAGTGGTCGCACCTGATGCTAAAAAGAAGCGTGTCAAGATTTTGGTGCTCATTTCAAGTCTTGATCCAAAAACCAAACGCATCGATACCGCCAACCCAAGCGCTGTCGTTGAACATTCGACTGGTATTTTAACTGAAAATGGCATCGAAACGAAATATGGTCTCTTGAGCCCAGAGAAATCCACATTGCAAATCATCAATTCGAGTGGCAACACCGACACTTATCAAGGCGCAAAAGATACCAAGACCGGAAATATTCATTTTGCATCGGGCGGTGTTGCAAACCCAACCACCGGACAACTTGACAATTCGTTGGGCCAAATTATTTGCATTGCACCTCAGGATAAGGCAGTCATTGACGTAACTGGTATCACTGGCAAATTGGATGCTCAAGGAAATGTCGATATTGCCAACGGCGCCATTGAACGCTCACGCGGTTTGTTGGATTTGAATAATGACACCATCGACACAAAATATGGAATCATCGATTTGAAAACCAGCGAAATCCGATTGATCGACCCAAAAACAGGGAAACCAACATCGAAGAAAGCAAAATACGACAAAGCCACCGGCTTATTCACAATTGCTGGCGCAACCGATGCTAAAGGAAAATACGATCCAAATCTGCACCAAGTAGTTGCACTTGGCTCACAAATCGATCCAGTCGTCGAGGTAACTTCGGTCATTGGTAAAGTGGACAAGAAGGGAATTCTTGACTCGAAGACATCAACGATTGAAAACACAACTGGACAGGTGAATGGGAATAAGGTCGACACAAAATATGGCCAACTGGATTTAGTGAAGCATACGATTACATTGAGCGACGGTAAAACCAAGGACTTCAAAGTGGATCCGGTTTCTGGACAAATTATCATCAAAAATGTCATCAATCCCAAGAATCCAGGTAAATCTGATAAGGATTATGCGCAAATTCTGAGCTTGAAGATTGTCAATCGTCGCGTTGACCCAGCTGGCAAGGTTGTTAATTCGGCCGATGGCAAAGATGTTGTTGTTGATAAAACCAATAAAATCTGGATTGCTGGCAGCAAAGATCCAAAAAGTAATGAACCAAACTACTACACAAGCTCACAACTGGATCCAAAAACCGGCACTATCACTATTGTCTATGGTTTAGTCAATCCAAAGACCAATGAAATCGAAAAGCAAACCAAACTCTTGCCCAGCGTTTGCGTGACAAACAATGTTGACGGTGCACTGTACACCTCGACCGGTGAAGTGGATGAAACCACTCGAGAGCCAATATTTGCAACATCGATCATTGAACCAGACACAAAGAATGTTGTCACCAAAACGGCACGCGTCCGTCCTCAGACCGGTGAAATTGTTTTGGTACGCATTGATTATCCGAAAGTCCAGGTGCCGACATTGGTCCAAGAGAAAAGAACAGCAACAACACCTGTGAAACAAGCCGAAATCAAGACCACACATCAAGCTAAGGCTGTTACACCACCGAAAGTACCGACAAGCGTCAAAGTAGCAACGCCAACCACACCAACTGGTCCGGCCTCCATTTCGATTACCGCTACTTCAACCATGACACCAAAACAACAGCAACAACCAGCCACCTCGACCATTACACCGAAACAAACTACTCCACCAAAACCTGCTGCCGCCACTACCACCACTACAGTTACTGCTGCAGCTCAGCCAGGTAGTCGAGCTCAACAGATTACAGCGTCAGTAGCTGCACCAGTAGCAGCAGCAGCTGCACAAAAAGCAGGCGAACCAGTTGCCATCGTACCTCAGAAGAATGCCATAATTGAAATCGTCACGATCGTCGGTGTTGCTGGTCCGGATGGAAAAGTTGATTTCTCAAAGGCACAATTGGAACGCTCACGCGGTATTTTGAATGTACAAAATGGAACCATTCAAACCAAATACGGTTTGATTAATCCAGCTGCAAAGGAGGTCACCACCACTGATAAATCGGGCAAAACATCCACAACAAAACCAATCACTTTGGATGCATCGGGCCAAATTATTATTGCTGGTGGCGTTGATAGCAAAGGAAAACCGGACAACAATATTCGTCAAATTATTAACTTGGGTCCAGAAGTGGAATCGCCAGTCGTTGAAGTGACGTCAATTTCGGGCAAATATGATGCAAAGAAAGGAATCATCGAACCAAAATCAGCTGTAGTCGATGTAACTCAAGGTCAATATGATCCCGATAAGAATACAATCACCACAAGCTATGGTGAATTGGACATTCCATCAAGTACAATCACATTCAAGCATCCAAAGAGCGGTAAACTTGAGAAAAAGGACGTCAAATTTGATCCAATCACCGGACAAGTTATTTTGCGCAATGAAATCAATCCCAAGAACAAAAAATTGGACAAGGATTATGGTCGAATTTTATCGTTGCGCATCGTTCATCGCAAAATTGATCCAGTCAGCGGAATGGTCTCTACTCCAACAATCACTGGCAAAGATATCATTGTCGATCCACAAACTAATCAATTGTGGATACCAGAAAGCAAAGATCCAATTACAAATGAAACGGTTTATGTTTCGACTCAAGTCGATCCAAAGGGCTACATCATCACCATTTATGGATACCTGGACCCGAAAACCAATCAAATCAAGAAACACACAGCCGTCGAATCGAATATCACGAAAACCGATGAATCCGGTCAATTGTTCATCGCCAGCGGTGATGTTGATGAAAATGGTGATCCATTGTTTGTTGCCTCACAAGTTGACGATGAATCAAACGAAGTGTTCACAAAAGTGGCGAAAGTTGATCCAAAAACCGGCAAATTAGTTCTCATCAAGATCATTTTGATAACAAAGAAAGATGAACGTGGTGTGCCCAAGGAAGTGCCAGCCAGTGAAGTTGTACGCGATCCATCATCCGGAGCCATTCGAAATGTTTTCAATAAAACGGTTTACGTATACAACATGGTTGATCCAATCACCGGCGAAATCATCCAAGTCGATCCAAATGATCCGTAAGTGCTTGTTTAAATATACATTTGAGTGTCTTTGTCCCAGGACTTGATACGGTTTATTTCGAATTTTCGAATGGACTTTATGCGATAAGTATTATCAAATTCGGGACAAAGAGATAATTAAATGGATGTTATATTTGAGCAAAATGCTAAAATTTCAATGTTCACATAGACGAATTGCTGGCGCTCGTACAACAGTAACACAAACAATGACACTATCCGGCGAAATTGATCCAGTAACCGGCCGAATAAAGACCGAATATGGTCACATAGATCCAGAAACAGGTTAGAAACGAGTTCTTTACACATAGCCATACTTCATTCAATCTACTGGCAATCGACGTTTGTTTTTTTTTTGGTTAGAATTTCTGGTTCATTTAGTTATTGCAAATAGTGAATTGAATGTGGTGTGGTTTTGTGCAAAAAATAGTCGGATTTATAATTGAAAGCGGTGTCTAACATCAAATAAATCACTGAAAAAAAAACAGGGGATATTTCGGAAGAGACAGCAGTCACTGATCCGGTAACCGGCAAAAAGATTTTGAACTACGCTCAAATCGATCCAACACATTTCGGACGCGAAGTGACAATTCAAACCACAACGACGCCAATTTCACGCGATCAATTCTTCGAAGGAATCAAGCATTTGGGACCATCTGTTGTGAAGCAAGTGGCTGAAGGCGGTAGCTCAGACGATGACATTGAACCATACGGAGATGATTCCGTACGAACGACAACAACCACGACGACATCACAAAAATCAAATACGCCGACCGTTGTGAAAACAACAACCAAACAGGTGCTGACCAAAAATGATGGCGGTGTCACACACAATGTCGAGGAGGAAATTCACAATTTGGGCACCGGCGAAGTCTTATTCTCTACACAAGAACACAAGGTACACATGAAATCTTAATAAGCAAAGTATTTTGTGTGTAACGACATATGCTCAAGCGAAATTGTGATATATGAAGCTAAACTATGGCACCGGTTGTTCATTTAGTTATTTAATTCAAGAAACCGTGTCTAGAACGTAGAACTACAACACACAGTTTGCTAATTGCAATTTTTTGGGCAGAATGGATTCTGAACGTCTCCGTTTTATGTCAATGAAATGATGTACGTTTTTAGTAACCGAAACCCGCTTGCATATTTGTTACCTCAAAACAAAAAAAAATCTATTTCTATCTGTCAATGTTTAGTGGCTGGATGCTTTCAATTGAAATCAATGGATTAGAAGAAGAAAAAAACGAAAATGCATTTACTAACCAGACAAAATCTGTTGGCTTTATACCATTCCCATTTGTCTGTCTTTGTCTATATTAATATGTGTCCCCAATACACTACTATTATGTCTGTTAACATTTTTCATTGCTGGAATGTGTGTAGATTTAGCCTCTCATTTCCTAATCTATCGAAGTAGCTCATTCGCTGTTATATACCATTTCAAACCAAATCTTCATAACCTATCAACCGAAATTCAAAATTTTACCAAAATTCAACTATTTCTTTTTTAAATTAATTTTTTAAACCATTTCAATTTGTTTTGTACAATTCTATTTTTGAAAATCTTTAGCTTTTACATTATAGAGTTAAAAAAACATAACACTTTGAGAACACGGAAACTAAATTAAATGCTTGATTAAACATTATAAACTCAGCTAATCAAGGGTTGTTTTGCGATGGCTGCGTTCGAATACTTGAACTTAGTGTAGAAGTATTTTTCAATTGAATTTGAGTAGTTCAATTACTGTCCGCAGTTGCTTGTATGTTTGTTTAGACGATGATTTTAGCAATTAGAAGTTTGATTTGTTCAAAGTCTGGCCTTTGGGTTGTCTATTTATAAACTTCGGGTGAAAGGTTTGTAAAATAAAGCGAAAAAAAACCAAGATGTTGCTCAGATCACGCATAACATTTTTTTGATTTGTTTTTTTTTTTTTTCATAACAACACTTCTTCACGCATTATTTGCATATTTTATATCACAAAAGTCCCTCGCGAAGAATACTAACCCCATTTTCAGTTTTTCGTTTTTCCCCTTTGGTTTTAGTTTTTTTTTTGCATTTATCTCTTGATTTTTTTTTTCAATCAATATAATTTTGTGTTTTTATTCCCAATTAAAATCATGCCCTAATCAAATGATCCACAATAACCAAAAAAATGTTGCGTTGCTGTGATTTAACTAAAAAAAACGAAAACCTTAAATCCGATAAAAAGGCTGACCCCGAAGATAAGTCCGGAGCATATGTAACTGCAACGGCAGTCACCACGCGTACGGCCACCACACATGAAGATTTAGGTAAAAATGCCAAAACGCAGCAGCTCGAAGAAAAAACCGTTGCGACAACAACCACGCATAATTTGAATCGTCAAGAGCAGCGTGTTGTTACGCAAGAGGTTAAGACAACGGCCACTGTTACCAGCGGTGAACAGGTATTTAAGCTTGATCCTAGTGTTTGAACGAACGATTTGAAATTATTAGATTGATGCGAAACAGAAATTGCTTTTGAATTGTTTTTTGTGTTATCGATCGTTAATTTTTTTTTTGAGCATGACACTTACATATTTTGTTCAATTTTCATCATTTTACTTAAAATTTGTATGAAAAATTATTTTTTTCGCGCATTAAAAATTTTATCGCGCAATTCTCATGTTTTTTTTTCAAGTTATTCGTACATAATTTTTTTTTTTCATTATCATTTTTTAAACGGTGTTTTTCAATTAAAAATTATGTAGTTTAAGCGACGAGATAGCGTTTCGTCAACAAGTTCTGGCGATTCGGGTACTCCAATCGACGGGCCAGACGATCAGAACGTAACCATTGAGCAAAAGGTTTGTATTCAATGTTGTTGTCATTCAAATGATGGTATGCTGGTAACCATGAGTAAAAATCAGTAGGCAAATGATGTCGTAGGTTTTCGATTTTTCCAAATTTTCCACTCACTTCAATGTATGCACGATCTGCTGTTTACTTGCTGTTGTGTGTTTGTGTGTAGCCTAAGAAAGTATTATTCGACGGACAGTTTATTGTGACCTTGAAAAATTTATAGACGCATATTATTTTTTAAAACCACTCCCTGATAATTTCGAAATGAATATTTTGGTGAAAAATAAACGAGACATTTTGTTCCTAATTTTTGAACAGACAACAGCCGCAACAACATCGGCAGCACCACCAACGACAACGGAGATTTCGACAACAGTGGACCAAATACCATCGGACGGCGAACAGCGACATGTTATACTCGGCGATAATAGCCAGGGTTACACGGCCGAAGGCGAAATCATTTCCACCCAAACCGTTAGCAGCAAAACACGAACCGTAGAAACAATCACCGTAAGTGGCTGATAGAAAAAACCTTCCCAATTCCACGAGAATAGTTTTGATTTATTTTAATGAAATAACAAATTAATTCATGATTACAGTACAAAACTGAGCGTGATGGCATTGTTGAAACTCGTGTGGAGCAGAAAATTACAATTCAATCTGACGGTGACCCAATCGATCATGACAAAGCTTTAGCTGAAGCAATTCAGGTACGAATTCATACCGTTTTACCGAATTGATAACAGAACTAATTTTATTTTTGTATCGTCCATTCGCAGGAGGCAACAGCTATGAACCCGGACATGACAGTTGAGAAAATCGAAATCCAACAACAAACTCAATAAAGATGATCAACATATTGATGCAAACAATTAATTTAATTTAGATTTTGGAAAACGGAAGAAAAACCTTTATAATTAACGAAGTAAAGAGAAAAGAAGAAAAATATGAAGAAAAATATGAAGAGCAACTTGTAATTGAACAATGTATTTTTTTATTATGTAATGTATTTTTAAGTTTACATTATCATTGTGTATTATTTCTATGGTTTAGTTTCGATTCTTTTTTTGCATTTTCGATTAGAATTTCGACATTGTCAACGACAAAAAATGTAGCAAATGAATATTATGACAAGAGTAAATCAATTTTTCTTTATTTTTCCTACATGAAAAAATAGAACATTTTTCTTTTATTTCACTTTTTGAATGGAACATCATTTCAAACTGATATATTATCATTTCATTTTTGTTGTTGTTTTTAAAACCCTTTTTCAAATGAAATACGAAAATGATGATGAAAACAATACATAAATGGCTCAGAGTCGAACTTTTCAAATTCGTTTTTTGTGTGTGTAGAAATGCGTTAGCTCATTTTTTTACAAATGGTTATGGCATATAATGTTTTAAAAATACATCTGAAAAATATTTTAGATATGAGCTTTCGCCTTTGTGTCAGTTTTTTTTTTGGTTTTCAACTGTTTCTTTAACATTCTCGAGTACCTATGAAGAAAAAAAATTATAGTTATTATAAATCAAAACTGCCCCCTCCCCCCAAAAAACACGAATGAATATATATATGTAATGTTGAATAATGTTTAAAAACAACTTGAACGCGCGCCGCTGCATTATCAATTCAAAGCAAACACAAACACAAACGCAATAACTTAACTGCTTGGCGCATCACTTGCCCGCATACATACACAATTTAATCGAAATATTGTTGTTGTAAATCAAATAAATCCGAATAACAAAACACTCCTACTTACATATACGACGAAATAAAAAGAAGATAAGAAATTATAATACAAATATTGCAATAAAATCACGAAATTTTCGCATCCATCATTATTGTGCATAGAAAGTTGATGAATGCTTCGTAATTTTCAAATGCAATAGCCACAAAGATAAAAAAAATCAACTTATCTAAAGCTTACATATGATTGAAAACCGTTGAAAAAAACATTTCACTACTTACCGAAATAATAATCAATTTGCCTCGCTAATGAAGAAAATACAACTTCTGAATAGGTTAAAAATTTAAGGGGACGAGCATTGAAATAAAGAGAATGATTATTGGAATTGAACAAGAATAACAAATGATAAGACGAACCGATTTTATAATGCAAAATGACGTTGCAAAAGTATAAAACTAAAAAAAAAAAATGCAAAAAAATCAAATTAAAAACATGAAATTAAAATTCAAATTATTCATTTAGCTTAAGGCACACAATCACACTTACATAAGGAAACATATACACAAACACACACATGCAACACACAAATACACGTTTTGAGAATGAAAAAAAAGCATAAAATGGGCCCTCTAAACTGAAAAAAAATATCACAGAATAACAAAATCTATCTAAAATTTTACAATTCTGTCTGATCCAATATATGCGTTTATATTTAATAGACAAGAAATGAACCGAATATAAAAAAAATACGAATCTCATTTTGTGTGCATTTAAAAAAGGAACTAATACAAACGGAAAAACAATTCTTAATAAGCATTGACTTCTTTTTCTAATTGTTGATAATTTCAATTTTTATTTCTTGTCATTGAAAGAAAACACTTTTCAAAAATAAATATTTCAATGTGTTTTTTTCCCCTGCAGCTTAGACTTCCCTTATGCATTTTTCCCTATTATTTCTGTAGCTTTCAAATTATTAATTTTCCTGTCATGTTGATTTGTGGAAAAAAGGCCGAAAGATCGAAATACTTTTTCAATAAGCTGGCAACAGAACAGAAAAAAAAAACTTTTTTTGATAATTGGAACTTTGGTTGAAACAGGTTTGATAACTCACAAATATATACGTATATCTTGTTTAGCTTGATTGATCATTGGCACAACACTTGATATTTAAGAAATAATTTTTACTGTAATCATTGATCTAAAAGAGGAAAAATATTTTTTAAAAAAAGAAGCTTTGATTTATTCGGCATTAACGTCATTTCCTACAAATCGCCACTGTGCTCGTGAATAATAAAATGATTAAATTCAAGTCATTCTGACATACACAAAACCACACAATTCCGTTGTGTGATTTAACTACAAATTTGCCTTTGCATAAGAGAATATAAAAAAACAATAAAACTATAATGGATTAGTTTTCTAACTATGAACACTGCCAACGTGTTTCTTTTTTGTATTCAAGAAGAAAAAACAATTTGATAACATTCCTCCGGTTAAAGTTGTCAAACAATAAATCGTTCGAACATTACAGACACAATAAATCGTTCGTTTTTCGAATAGCTGTTGTCCGTTGTAACTACATTTGCGAATAGTATCAGAAGTTATATACCAAATCGTAGATTTGGAGGCCCCTTCAACATTTGTCCGAACGGTTTGCCCGTTGACACCTTTACCTCTGGTATTTTCACCGACTGTGTTTGCTTAATATTTGTCTGATAATTGTGAAAATGCAGTTTTCTGAATAAAAAAAGAAAAAAATGAAAGAAAAAACCAATTTCAATGAAGGAAAATGCAACCAATTTGCATTTGGCTATATATTCATGTATCATCCGATGTTGGAATGAAACAAAGAACAAAACAAAATGTTATGAAACATTAAAAAAGTGTATTTTTCTAAATTCCGTAAATTTGCTTGTAGTATTGTATTGATCGTTATTAGTCAAAGTGCAAATAAAAAAAAATAATTATCGACCACAAGTTATTTCAATGATAATCATCAGTCAGGCATAAGCGCCACCATACTGTAAGCATGCTCATAAATCACTGAGATGATTTGGAATTCGGCAACCCAAGTGTAGTATACAATATGTACTATACTATACATCAACCATGCTAAAATGATTTGCAATAAACGTGTTTGCTATGTTATGGTAACACAAAAATAGATCGAAGTGGGGAAAACGGTAAAGTATTGTCATCCGTTCGTGTGAGTCTTTACTATGTGTAATGTGATGAACGATGTTTCAAGCCTAGGTTTCCTGTAATACATCGTGTACTATTCCGCGCGGAAAATCTAAAAATATTCACATCAGAAATATTATATACCTACCGTGTCTGCCGCTCACACCACATCGGTTTATCAATATGTGTGCTGTTTTGAGAAAACCGGGTGAATCGTTTATATGTTTTTCTTATATTGTTAGCGCAATTGACAGCACACAACACACCATTTTTGTAGCTTGAAAAAAATAACGGAGAAGGAAATTTCTGTGAAATTGCAAATTGCAATAGATGCAGCAACAGAATAGCTGATTCAAACGTTTGAAATCCATATGTGCACGAGGGTGTGGTGACCCAACAAATCACTTGAAATGTTTTGATATTGTGAAAACAATTGAAAGTAAAAATCTTCGCTCACGTAATGCTTGCACGAGAGTAAAAATAGTCGGGCGCTGTATTTTTTTAGACATTGTAATGAGGAGCATACTTTACGCCGGTTATCTATAGCTGATGTAGCTACATCAGACGTGCTTTAGTACATAGTATGGTTTCGATATACACCGACACAGAATACACACGGTAAGTTGCGGTCGAGTGCGTAAATTATATATCATTTTACTATTATTTTTAGGCGATTAATTGGTGATTTTCATACATTCTCACTGTTTTCCTCAATTTTCCATTTTTACTTTTGTTGTTCCCGGTTATTTGTTATTTTCACTTCGCAATAAAGCGATATTAATAATATCAAATACGAATGAACACCGGGTGAATGAGCGGACACACGCGAGTATGTTGGTAGCGAGTGGCCGAATATTGTTTGAAAAATGTGAGTGACACTGATCGAAAATAGTAAGAGGTGTACACGGACAACCGAATAGTTCCATTGAAATTTTGTTGGGCAAGAAAAATAGTTGTGTATCGAGTGTTGTGTGTGTTGGACGAGAAAAATAATGAGCCGTGCAACGGAAAATGGTCTCAAACCGATGGACAATTGTGTTGTGTGTAAAAAACTAAGTTCATTGAAATGTTCGAATTGTGTCAAAGTATTTTATTGCTCAGTTGAACATCAGCGAGGAGACTGGAAGCGACACAAACGGTACGTTATTATCATCATCAAGTGCAAGACAACACCAAAATAACAATTATTATATGAATTATATATAATTCATCACATCACCAGTCTGAATAGTCTCATCTAGAATTAGAAAAAATTTCATCAACACAACAAATTTGTTTCCAAATTAAAAAAAAAAACTCTTTTAGTTTGGTATTAAAAATGTTTGAATCTTTCCAGAGAGTGTCGACCATTTGAGGTATGTGTTTAATTATTTACTACATCGAACAATGTATTGAATGCGGTGGAATCGTGTTCTTTTTTGAAATTAGGTTGCAAGCAATGAAAAGTATGGCAGATATTTGATAGCCAGTCGTGACATAAAGGCTGGTGAAATTCTGTTGAAGGAATCACCGCTTGTTCGTGGCCCATCACAAATTACTTGTCCGGTGTGTATTCGTTGTTTACAAGGGATCGAAGAAACCGACATCAACAATGACCAAGTGTGTTCACAATGTGGATGGCCGATATGTTTTGAGTGTACAAACGACAAGCGTGTTCTACGAATACAACATGATGAATGTGCAATAACTGTAGCACGCGGCGCTAAATTTTCACTTCAGAATTATTTTAATCCACATCCCACATATCAATGTTTGACTGTACTGCGTTGTCTATTGCTCAAAGAACATTCGCCGGACAAGTGGAACAAATTGATTCAGTTAGAATCGCACTGTGATCAACGACGCGGAAGCCCACAGGTATATTGATGATTACAGTTGTAATCAATGTGAGTAAAATTATCGATATTCTTGAACAAAAATTTACATATCACACAGTGGTGCAATGACAGAGAAGGTGTTGCAAGGTTTATTCCTCGATTTTTCAAATGTCCCGGCCGATGGGATGAAAATGAAATTCTCAAAGTTGCTGGTATCGTTCAAATTAACGGTAAGAAATAAAGAATTGAACAATAGCAAAAAAGCTATCGATTCTGAAGCATCGAAGCAAGCCAAGATTCGAACACGGAATCCGTTGACAATAAATGAACCAATTGAAACATTTCAATTATAGGCCACGAAGTACCCCTTACTGATCCACCACATGTTGCGATTTTCGACCAAGCATCGTTGGTTGAACATTCGTGTTCGCCGAATCTCACCAAATCATTTACATCGAAAGCTGATTTGGTATTCTGGGCTCCAAATCCCATCAAGGTAAAGGAATTAATGGTGAAGGATACAGGCGGGCGAATTCGCGAGTATATACTCTCATACTCATAGATACTCTTTGAGTAAGAGAGTATATACTCTTTGATTTTGAGTATGTCTAGACATACTCATTTTCCGGCTCATTTTCCTACTCATGTGAGTATGTCTCGACATACTCATTTTTTTCCGAAAGAGTAACTCTACTACGAAAGAGTTACTCACTCGTTTTTTTCCCTCTCAGAAAAACATATAGAGGATATATAACTTTTTCTAAGGAGGAAAAAAAATTACAGAGATATTCATTAGAGAAATTTTTTTGAAAATGAATATGTCGAGACATACTCAAAATCAAAGAGTATATACTCCAAGGGGGAAACTACTACTACCGCGTAATTCATATTAATACAATCTAGTACAACACAAATTCTGAAAAATTCCAAAAAATTCTGCGCAATTCAAAACAATTCCGATGTTCCTTAGTCAAATTTGGTGATGATCAACTCAAAATATCGCAAATATAGGGACATTTACCATTCATTTGAATGCATATTGAAGATTTTTACTTTTAGAACATATTTGACTTGATTTGATCTACAAGACTCAATTCTAGCTCTGTTTTCCATTTTGAAAATATTTTATGTATCATAAAGCCTTTACCTATTTGAAGTGAAATATTGAATTGGGAGTGAGACCTATGTACAATTAAAAACGCCAAATCTGAAGTTATTTCGATAAGATTGAACATCTATGCGCTTAAGCATTCCTTTGAGATTCCAAATGACCCTATATTTGCAATTTTTGAAATTGATCATCATCAAATTCGACTTAGAAACATCGGAATAGATTGGAATTGTTTTGAATTGCGCAGAATTCTTTGGAATTTATCAGAATTGGTGTTGTACTAGATTATATTAATATGAATTATGCGGTAGTAGTAGTTTCTCCCTTGATATACTCTCTTACTCAAAGAGTATCTATGAGCATGAGAGTATGTCGAGACATACTAATTTTCCGTTTGTATGGGAGTAAGATTAAGATTATGAATTATACTCTCTTACACCGCCCACCTGTAGAGAAGGAATAAGGGACTATTTTGTGTATGTTATTTTTTCTCATTAAGAAAGGTGAACATTTGAGCATTTGCTATTCGGATGCATTATTTGGGACGGCCAATCGACAGAACCACTTATTACAAACGAAAATGTTTCGATGCGATTGTTTGAGATGCAGCGATGTTACTGAGTTCGGAACCTATTTCAGTGCCATAAAATGTAGACAAAATTCGGCAGACAATTGCACGGGACTTCTTTTGCCCGAAAACTCGAACCAGTGGGATGGAGTGTGGAAGTAGGTGAAGCTCATATAAAGTTTGATATTTCCAAAACAATTTTCTTTTTTTCGAAATATTTGCACGGTATTGATCATGAATGATAACGATCTCATTTCACGTGTTCAGGTGTAATACGTGCGACAGAACAGTCGAGCCATTGTACGTTAGATCAATTCTTGATCGAGCTGCCAGAGACTTAGAATCCTTGGAAAAAGACAGTGAAAAGCAGTTAACAAAGTAAGTACAAACTTTCGAAAGTGAAAGAAAAATCCCAAACAAAACCCAATCCATTTTTTTCTTCTTACTAAATAGATTCATCGAACACTATTCCAAATTGTTATCGCCAAACCATTATTACATCTGCGATGCAGAACTTACATTGAGTCAGGCAATTGGTGCTGGTGAGGCAAGAAATTTACAGCAGATTTCCGACGAGCAGCTGCAAAGGAAAATTGATTTGTGTGAAAAACTATTGAAAGTTTTCAATGTCTTAACAGCAGGTAATACACTCTAATTTAAAATCATTTCAAAGAACATTTTTTTACAGTCAATGTTTGTAATTCTTCTAGCTGAATCACGTTGTTTGGGTGCGTTACATTTTGAATTGCATGCTGCGTTAGCAGAGCTGGGGCGTCGTGGTATGCAAAATAAAGACAATTGTTGCAGAAAGATCATTGAAGATTCGTTGAAAAATGCAGTAGAAACTGTGCGTTTATTGGGGCACGAGCCCGCCGAATTGAGTGAAGGTTTAATTGCAAATCAAACCAAAGCGAATATCGAGGGTCTCAAATTGATTCTGGCATCAACTGCGCCATCAGATATTTGAGCCAGAAATAAGAGATTTTGGTTCTCTTTTCTTACTTTAATCACATTTTTCTAGAATTTTGCTAGTGGTTTTATTTATTTAGTACTAGCGTTACCCTGCGTGCTTTGCTACGCTCTTAGTATGCAGTGAGTGAGGATCAAATTTATTTCTGTTATCGATTGTTTGTGAAAATATATATGAGGCTGTGAGAATGAAAATGTCATTACAGGAATAAACATTCTGAAACGCACCAAAAAAAAATCGTCAAAATGAATCATGAGTTCTGAATATGCAAAAGTGAAACATGAATTAACATGGGCAGCATAGGAGGTTCATGGTTCACTTTTGCGTATTCAGAACTCATGATTCACTTTTGCGATTTTTCTTTTCTTGATGCGCTTCAGAATGTTTATTCCTGTATTGACATTTTCATTCTCACAGCCTCATATATGTCTTGTCATTTAAATATGGAGATATATATATATATATATATATGAGAGCCTGAGAGTGAAAGTGACCAACAAAAAGTTGAGCGTAAAAGTTACTCAACTCCATACAAAACACATGCTACCGTCACGCTGTTTTGTATGGAGTAAGGTCACTTTTACGCTAAACTATTTGTTGGTCACTTTCACTCTCAGGCCCTCATATATATATATAAAATTACACGGTTTTATATATGTTCAGGATGGTCAGTTTTAATATGATATCATATATGTAAAGATTCAATTTCATTCATCTTTCAATTAATGTTTATTCTTTTTTTGATAACAAAAGAAAATAAATTCAATCTATTGATATATGATATCATATTAAAACTGACCTACCTAAACATATATAAAAATGTAAAACCTATGATGATAAAGGAATTTTTTTACTACATTGTTCATCTCCGTTCCAAGGCCTTTCATATGATACCCATATTGATTATTCATATGTGAAAATGGTGTTAGGTCGTGTTAACATGACTGTTTCTATCTGTGTTTGGTGATAGAAAAGAATAAAATACTTGTGTTTTATTGTGTGGTTTGCATTCTCTTTATTTACGTGTTATTCCTTTCACTGATCGCTTACGACTAACTTATATATATAAATGTAGAGAGAGCGCGCTGTCGTACTGACAGCCGCTCTGACAACCGTCCTGCTTGGCAACACTTAATATGTGGATACTTGAATGTCAACACTGCTAACACTCCCCCCGTAAAAACGCATTGTTTTTACTAATAGTAGGTTTTGCTTTCATTAAACACATATGTGTTTCGATTACTTCCAATAGGAAAGTTCAACATCGTCCGGAAGCACACATATTTTTCTTACTGAACGTTCCAGCTGGCCTGTTTGCGTCTTTAGCGATACAGATCTTACTTTGCCATCGCTGCCTTTATGAGTTTGGGTAATTCTGCCCATACTCCAATATGTTGGGGCAATGTTGTCAGCTTTGATAACAACTAATTGTCCGATGCTTAGATTTTCTTGTTCTGCTCGCCATTTAGGCAGTTGGATTAGCGAATGCAAATAGTCATTTGACCATTGTTTCCAAAATGCTTGTATTTGGAATTGTATCTGCGTATAAAGGCTCTTCATGCTGCGTGGTGGTTCTTCAAATTTCTCTTGCATTGGGAGTTTCAGCGGCCTGCCGATCAAAAAATGTGCTGGAGTCAGTGCTTCTTGATCCTTTGGATCGTCTGACATTTTGCAAATGGGTCTAGAATTTAGACATGCTTCAACACCCGCTAAAAGTGTTGTTATGCCTTGGAAGGAGTATTTTTGTGTACCAATGACACGCTTCAAATGATGCTTCATTTGCTTTACTGCTGCTTCCCAGATCCCTCCTACGTGTGGGGCTGATGGGGTTATAAAATGCCATTCTGATCCTTTCGAGTACGCATGCCTCTGGACTAGGTCGCTTTGCCAGCCTTCGAATGCTTTTTTTAGTTCGGTATCTGTTCCTTTGAAGTTTGTACCATGGTCACTATAGACCTTTTCAGGATTGCCTCTCCTGCTTGTGAATTTTGTGTATGCCGCTAGAAAATCATGTGCCGACATGCCTTCCACGGGCTCTAGATGAACTGCTCTAGTAACTAGACAGACAAACACTGCAATCCATCCTTTCATTTCAGGAAGGGCACGTGCTCTTGTATTCGTATTTATCTTTTCGGAGACCCGCAAATGGTATGGGCCGGCCATATCGACACCCATATGCTGAAATGGTGGTGCTGGCTTTAGTCTTATTGCTGGCAGTTCGGCCATAATTTGATTTGTTGTTTTTTGTGTATGCCTTACACATTGAACACATGAGGCGATGAAATTCCGTGCTTCGAATCGGATCTTTTGTATCCAGAAATTTCTGCGGATGAACTGAATCATTGACTGTGCACCTCCATGCATAGTTGCTTCATGAGCATATTTACACAACAGATACGATAGCCTTGATTTATGAGGAATGATGTATTGATGCTTATTTTCAAACGCAATGTTTGCTTTATCTATGCGACCACCCACTCTGAGAATGCCATTCTTATCCAAATATGGCCTCAGAGATGTTAGAGTGCTTTTTGGTGGTAGATTCTCACCTGCTTCAATGCATTTCATTTCTTCGCTGAACATGCGTCTTTGCTCAAACTTCACCCAGAATTCAATCGCTTTGATTCGCTCAGCGGCTCTTACATATCCTCTGTGTGTGATATCTTTCTGTTTGCATGCTCTTCTGCGTACTATTTCTATCAGCCTTAGTGTAAATGCTGTTATGTTTATGATTTTATCCCAATCTTGGAATTTATCATATAGCATTGTTTTTTCTTTGCCAGTCGTCATGTGCATTACATGATCTGCATTTTCTTTGGCTTTGCATTCTTTTTTAACTTCATTTTGTTCTTCAGGGGAAATGACCATCATCGGCTTTGGCCACTCACTCTCTGGCTGCTTTAGCCAGCTCGGGCCTTCTGTCCAGAGTTTACTCTTCAAGAAGCTTTGCACGTACATTCCTCTACTGACCAAATCAGCTGGATTGTCCTCTGTTCTTACATGCTTCCATTTGTACTGCTTGGTTTTTTCTTGTATTGTTCGTACTCTATTCGCGACGAATGCTTTTAATTCATTTGGTCGTTTTCTTATCCAACTTAGAGCTACCATTGAATCGGACCAGAGGGTCACATCTACACTTTCGAACTCGCATGCCTGTATTATAGCCTCTAGCTGGATACTTAGCATATATGCCGCTTGTAATTCGAGTCTAGGAATTGTGCTGCATTCTAGTGGGGCAGATTTAGCTTTTTCTGCCTGTGTAGCATTATCTTTTATGCTTTTTAATGGTGCCACTTTTGATTTGCCGGATAAGAGGGTGGTAAATATCTGCTTGTCTTCGTTTTCCACCCTTACGTAAATTGAGGTGCCATATGCTTTTGTGCATGCATCGCAGAAAGCATGTATTTGTATTTTTGCCTTTTTATTGGTTGTCATCCAACGCTTCATTCTGAAATTGGACAGCAGATGCAGATTGTTGTATATCTTTGCCCATTCTTTGCTTATTTCGAATGGCACATATTGGTCCCAGCTTATATTCTTTAAACGCCAAATGTCTTGCATTAAGATTTTCGCTTTGACAATCACCGGTGCAATGAATCCATTCGGATCATAAAGACTGGCTATTTTGCTTAAAATAGCTCTTTTAGTGTAGTTTTCGCTTTCTTCCGTCGGCTTGACAAATATTGATAGCTCGTCTGATGATTTTAACCATCGCAGGCCGAGTATCTTTTCTTCATCTTTTTCTCCAATGATGGTTTCGCTTGACGATGATGCATTCATATGTGTTTCGACCTCTTTACTGTTCGAGCTCCAGCCTTTTAGTAAAAAATGGCCTTGCCCCAGCACTTCAACTTCTTTGCATAGCAACTTGAGTTCATTCGGGTTGTCACATCCAAACATCCCGTCGTCTATGTAGAATGAGTTTATTATAACGTTCGATGCGTCTGGATATATGCTCATGTGCTGCCTTGCACATTGAACCATCGCACGTACTGCATTGTACGACGATGACTTTTCGCCAAATATCACTACTGTCATGACGTATTCTTCTAGTGGTTCGTTTTCAGATTCACGCCAGAACAAACGGTGCATGTTCCATTGTTCTGGATTTAATCCGACCCTATTGAAAATTTTCGCAATATCTGTAACAACGGCGTATTGATGCCTTCTGAAACGCATTGTTTGTAGCTGCCCATCGTATTGCAATTTGGGTCCATTCATTTGAATCGTGTTTAAAGTCTCACCATTGGTGGTTTTTGCCGACGCATTTAAAACTACTCTGAATTTTTTGGTGACTGCATGATGTGGTAACCAATAACAAAGTTCACCTGCTTTAGGCGGAATCGCTAATCGCATGTAGCCGTTCTTAATATTCTCGTGCATGTATTCGACATACTTACGTTTGTATTCGGAATTCTTTCTAAATTTGTTCTCCAATTGTTTAAACTGTCTTTTCGCCAATGTTTTTGAATCACCAAGTCCTCTGTGATCTGGCTTTATTGGTATTGTCACTATGTACCTGCCATTTGGTTCTCTATAGTGAGTTTTTTCAAAGCATTTTTCAACTAAGGCTTGTTCTTCGGTCAGAGCAGTTGAACATTGGAATCGATTTATTTCTTCCGCTTCAAAAAATCTAGATAATGCATTTTCTAAGCTTTCATTACTTTCTTTATTATCCAGAAATATGTCAGCATTTTGCGTAGCTTTCATAACAATTGAATTATTTGTTCTCTTTTTTATTAAAAAACTGCCTAACATTATATGGCCAAATTCAGTTGATTGCATCATTGCTCCATCTTTATGCTTATATAAATCTGAACTAACTATTTTCGCATATACTCTGGCTCCAATTATTGCATCGATTGGAGCTGGAACGTCAAATTGCTGGTCAGCTAGAACTAAATGCTTTATCTGTTCTTTATCTATTTCTATTTGCATATCCGGATACAATCCATCCAGTTGCTTTAAAACGTAAAAATCCGCAGCAATTGCGTAGTCGCTTTCGAACCATGGGCTGATGACTGCTTTCACTTTATGCTTTATGATCTCGGGTCCGCTTATGCCGAGTACTCTTTTCTGGCATTTTGTGGTTTTCAGTCCATTTTCATTCACGAAGTCTGCTGTTATGCATTCCAGCGTTGCTCCGGTGTCAGCTATTGCTCTAGAAAGGACATTATCATTAGACATTATTGTTCTTATTTGCATGTTCACAGTTGCTAATAACACTGTGTAATCATCCTCACCTGTTTTAGATGAGCTGATGTTTTTTATTGCATTGCTTTGCGTCGCAACCTTTGACCATTCCGACAGCTTGTTGACGGATGACTGGCCTCTGTTTGAATCTGTCCGACTTGCATTTTCATTGCTGTGCCGAAATCTCTTCGGATTGCGCTGGTTGCTGTATTGCTGTTTGCGCTTGTGTCCGGCTACATTTTCATTCATGGCTGCATTTGTTGTTTGTCTTAATGCATTCGGGCATAGCATGCTGTTATGATATTTATTCTCTGGCAAACATTTCGGGCAAATCTGATTGCATCTTTTGTTCGCACATCTTCCTGCATGGAGATTTTGCAAACAACGAACGCATAGTTCGTGTTCTGTGACTTGATTTTGTCGAGCTACCAAATTCATATCAATGAATGATTGACATTTGTAAATCAAGTGTGAGCCCTCGCATATCGGACATGTTTTTTCACCAGTATTTGCGTCATTGTTCTTTGCAAACTGGTTTTGTTTATATTGGTGCTTCTGTTGCTTCTTCGATATTTGGTGCTCGTTTCGGCGTGAGGTTGCAAAATTTGGATGTCGTTCGGCATGAACGCGAATCGTTACTTCATTCTCTAGGAATGCTTCTACCTCTTTCCAAGTCGGAATGTATTTGCCCGGTCTTCTGTTATCCGGATCGATACCATTGCGTTCAGCATCAGCTTTGGCTAGGACTGGACGATGCTTTTCCCAAGCACGATATGTGTCTGTATCCATCTTGCTTATGACTGAGAATACTACATATGGGTGCTTTGGATCCATATTAATGTATCGTTGCAGACCGTGAATGTGCTTTTGCACGGTGTCAATGGTATTGCGAATGGCCTTGCCTGTTGTTCCATTCATACGAGGTAGTGCATCCAATTTTTGCATGAAAGATTCGACCTGCATGTAGTCATCTTCATATATCGTTTGCAATCTCTCCCACGCTTTAGCATAATTCTCATCTGTGAGATCCCAATCGCCCAATGCACCAACGGCATCACCGACGCATGCGGTTTGGAGATTTTGGAATTTCACAATCGTTTTGACTTTTTCGTTGGTGTGCATGGTTGCGACCCACTTGTCATGAAATTGCTTCCATTTGGAGTAATCACCATCGAATTTGCCCCAGATATTAGGAATATTGCCGGTGGCATCGGTTTGCGTAACCTCTATTTTAATTTTATTTCTGTCAAGCGATGCATTATCGTCTTGAACCGGTTTTTCGGCATTTATTGCTTTTAGACTGTCAAATAGCTTTGCTTTTGCCGATATTATATTCTCACTGAGCTGTTGATTCTCTTTTAAGTCGCGTTGACTGTCTGAATCGAGCTCAAGCAGAACTTCCTCGAGAATTTTTTCCAATTGGTTGCTTAAATCCTTTAACTGGGACTGCTGCTCATATATGCCGCCTTCTGTCCAGGACTTGAGCAATTCCTCATTGTTAATTTGCTCGATCAAACGTTCGATTTTCTTTTCGAGTCTTTCTTTTTTTGCTTTTAATTGGCCCGCCAACGTTGCCATTTCTTCTATAATCTTACTTGGTCTTCTCGTTGGGTGCGGCATGTTTAGCTTATTTACCTTTCAAATGGTGAAGGTTGAACCTAACCTTCACTCGTGAAAATATGAGCCGAAACTTCACTTCGGAAATTCTCACTCCACTGTCACAACTATTCGCTAAATTATTTCTATTATTATTATTATTTCTTTTTCAACTTCAAATTTATTTGATTAACGACGCGTGGACTGACTTTCCAATTGTATTGAATTGTATGCAATCTGATTTGAATCAACTTGTTGCGAGACTAACTTAGTAATAGGTCTGAACTGTTTAAGAGTTGAAACCGGAATGAACGTGTCGTGTGCTTGTTCTTATTTCAAAGCATTGACGTTTACTTTCTCTTTCACTCGTTCGTTCTATAGTGTGGCATGCCTGTCGCATTTGTATGGTGCGCACACTGCATAAGCATGTCTGATTCTATGGTTGCTTTGTCAAGTCAGAGCTGTGTGCCGTGTTTCATTTGAAATTACAGTGGTGTGTTTCAACACAGCTTGGTGTGCGAATTTCATTATTTCACCAGAATTTGCTATATTGCATCAGCTTGTACAATACCGCATTGCAGAGCCTACTTACATTTTGCTCCTATCGCGAAATCACCTCTGAAAGAAAATATTCATGACAAAGAGAACAATGAACACATTGACTTAATGTTTCTTGCTTTGTTTTATTTGTTGCTGATTTTTCAATACAAATGCCTTATCTGATTTTTAATGATTGAAAGCATTTAGTGCGCCTTTTTTTTTATATAATACAAATTGCTTTAATTTGAATTGCGCCTTTTTTTTATTTTTAATACAAATTGCTTTAATTTGAATTTATGCGTCAGCGTTTGCTTTGTCATTCTTTGATATTCAACAGATGCCTTATCTGTTTAAACTCTTTGTTTTGCCTAACAGTGATTTATTTTAACATTTTTTATTTATTTTTATTTATGAATGTTTTCAATTCAAATCCGAATCGGATTGGATGCGTTATCTTTGATGCTGTTGCTTTAATTTGGATGCATACCAAATCTGATTGGACATAAAGTCGAATTGTGGTAAGCTTCTACCGCTGGATTGTTGTGTGCGCACATTGGGCATTGCTCATTGTTTGTCTTATTCTCACACCGTTCGCCTGGATGTGACACGCGTGTGCATCGTTGACACAAATTGTGTTCATATACATAGCTCCAGCGATGATAGTAGTCATATGCCAAAAAATATTCGCATTTGTAGAGATGAGTACAATTTCCACATGGGCATACAATGCCGTGTTTATATTGCTGTGGTTTCACCACGTTGCGTTTTTTGTGTAAATTACTTTGAGCAAGCATCGGTGAAATTGATGGCTCTGAGTTGCCTGCGTTAGGCATTGTCAGTTGTGAAGCACATGCGCGCATGTCATGTTTTGCATAAACTATGATTTCTCCACTCAGAAAAGTGTTGAAATCGTTCCAAGACGGCATATGATTGCTTCTTTCCCGCTGTTGTTCGTCTTGGGTGGCCCATGAAATTGCCAATGTGCTTCTGTGTCGATCCCACATTCTGGCTGTTTCATCGTCCAATTTTGAGGCGGCGATAACTGTAAACAGTGAGTCATCGCTGTCCGGCATGATTTCTTTCAACAGCGCTACGCATTTCGTTGCTTTTTTTAGCAGAGTTGTTAGGCTTTGTGACGATGCTTGGCTAACCTTGGTTATAGTCGTGAACCGTTGTACGCATAACTGTACTTGGTTGTATGCATCGCCATACAAATCTGTCAACGATTGCCACGCCTGTGTGAAATCTTGTGCATCGGAAATCATTTCAAGCACTTCGTCTTTGCATGCCTTCTTCAGATGAGTCGATTTATCTTTGTCATTGAATTCGGATTTGTTCACAATTTCTGCCTTGAATTGCTTCACGAAGGTTCGCCATTCAAAAACGTTTCCAGAAAATGCGGCGAGATTCACTTTCATTTCTTGCTTCGCATTGCTTATTGCTGGCATTTCATTTGTTTGCATGCATTGCTGTTGGCTTTGAGTGCGTTGCTCAGTTGGAGCGCATTGCTCGGTTTGCATTGCATTGGCTTGCGTATCCAATGCCTTCAAAAAATCAATTTTCTTTATGATTTTTGATTGCAACGCACCACATAATTCTTCTATCTCCTCATCTTCTTGTTGGTTTGCGTTAGTATTTTCGACACATCCGAGAGCTAGGCATTTAGCCTCAAATTTATCTAACAGATCTCTTAAGCGCGTTGCTTTTTCTGTTAATTCGTGCTGCGTTAGCTGTTCGAAATTCAGTGCCAGTGATTTTTGGAATTTTTGGATCTTTTCCACGTAAAATTTACGTTGTGCATGTGCCTCGGCTTTCGCCTTCTCATTCGACTCCATTTTCTTTTTCTTCGCGCAAAATGTGTGTCTCAATTCTTCGAATGCCTTTTCTTTTTTATTCATTCGCTGTTGTCAGCAAGTGAAACAACGATAACAATAACAAAATCTTGCTTAATCGATGCTTTGGTTGCCTTAACCAAAGTCTACACTTTGCTTTGTGTTTCGTTTTTTGTTTGCTTTTGTTTCACTGGAATTCGAGTGAGCACAATTGATGTAGTGTGCGAAGGGAGGGAAAAAAAATGCGCGACAGAAAAATTCACAATGTGCCGCTTTTTTAGTCACTGCACAATTCGATTTTTGCACAAAATTGTTGTTGTATTTCGATATTCCATTCGTACACACTCAAACGTATTTGATTCGATTATGTCTGTGTCACTGTTCGATTCGTGTGAAAAAAAAAATCTGCGTAAATTTTGCACTCAAATTTGCATAAATTTGACACTCAAAAGTAAATAACTTTATGTTTTTTTTAAATTTCGCAATATATTCACTTCACGAACTTGCTCACAGTCGAAGGACCATGTTTCTATCTGTGTTTGGTGATAGAAAAGAATAAAATACTTGTGTTTTATTGTGAGGTACGTTACGCTGCCCCCCCCCCCAAATTTAATGCTGGGATGTGACCGGTACCATTATTTAGTGCTCAATTAGTGCTGGCGAATGGTACCATCGGTTAATTTTATGCTGCGATAGGGAGCTAGCACTAATTGAAAAATGTGTAAAATCTCGATTTTTGGCCCTTTTACAGGGGAGCTACCCGAAAATGAAACTTTTTTGTATCGTGACCGGGCTATAAAATTTGTGCTAGATTAGTGCTGGCAAATGCTATTCTCAGATCCAAAAAATGTTCACTGGGGACCGAGCACCAATTGTAGAAGTGTTCGAAAAGTCGATTTTTGGCCCTTTTACAGGGGAGCTACCCGAAAATGAAACTTTTTTGTATCGTGACCGGGCTATAAAATTTGTGCTAGATTAGTGCTGGCAAATGCCATTCCCAGATCCAAAAAATGTTCACTGGAGGTCGAGCACTAATTGTAGAAGTGTTTGAGAAGTCGATTTTTGGCCCTTTTACGGGGTAGCTATACAAAAATGGATTTTTTTTGTATCGTGACCGGACTATAAAATTAGTGCTGGATTAGTGCTGGCAAACGCACTTTTCAGATCCAAAAAATGTTCACTGGGTGCCGAACACTGATAGTAGAAGTGTTCGAAAAGTCGATTTTGGCACTTTTACAGGGGAGTTATCAAAAATGAGACTTTTTTGTACTGTGACTGGACTATCAAATTAGTGCCGGGTTAGTGCTGGCAAACGCACTTTTCAGATCTAAAAAATGTTCACTGGGACCGAGTACTAATGGTCGACATTTTTGAAAAATTCGATTCTCCGTACATTTCCTTCGCAAGTACCTGAAATCGATTTTTTTGTATGAATGGATAGCTCTCGCAATAGGATGCAGCAGAAGAGATAGGATGCGCATTGTATTTAAATGATAGCAATGCTATCCTATGTTAAGGCGTTGCGCTGTACAATTCTGGAAGAATTTGTTTATAAAAAAAATTTCTTGTAAACAAACCGTCCTATACTACTACGTTCAGTGTGCTGATACACGATGAAGCTGGGTGCCATTATATACTGAGAGTGCACAAAGCAAATATTATCCGCATATTTTTTCTATGCCAATGCATATATCTGGCGCCTGAGTCAAACTCTGTTGCGCACTGTATGTAGATTTCTGATGATTTCCTTCAAATTTCTGCCCATCACTGCTCGTCGATGGATCTCTTCTGCTGCATCCTATTGCGAGAGGAAATCGATTTTTTAAGTATTTGAACCAGAGAAAATGTGCGAAGCAGACGGGCGAGATGCCATTAGATGTGCGGTTTGTGGAATGAAATTTGGTCAGAAGTCACATATGAATTAACTGTACACACAGGGAAAAAAGGTTCAGATATTCGCTACGCCCAATTTTTTTTCCTGAAAAAAAAAACCAAAATTCAGATTTCTCAGACAAAAATTTTTTTTGAACCTCCATAATATAGGTAAAATGGACGCGCCAAAAAAAATGTTGTCTGAGAAATCTGAATTTTGGTTTTTTTTTTTTCAGGAAAAAAAATTGGGCGTAGCGAATATCTGAATCTTTCTTCCCTCTGTGTATTGGTGCGCAAAACAGAAAGTCATGATACACTCACGCGATTAATGAGTCATATCGATTCTGACTCTTTGACTCCACTGACTTATTGCCTATAAAATGGAGTCAGAATCTAGCTCGTTTCTTATGACTCATGAAGAGCGAGTCACATCAAGTTAGACTCACTTTGGACAAATGGATGACTCCGATTATGATTCATATTGTGACTCACTTTATGACTCAATTATAATGTAGTGATTCACTTTTCCGAACAGGAGTCATAGAGCCAGCATTCATACAAAAAAATCTATTTCAGGTACTTGCGAAGGAAATGTACGGAGAATCGAATTTTTCAAAAATATCGACCATTAGTACTCGGTCCCCAGTGAACATTTTTTAGATCTGAAAAGTGCGTTTGCCAGCACTAATCCAGCACTAATTTGATAGCCCGGTCACGATACAAAAAAGTTCCATTTTCGTATAGCTACCCCGTAAAAGGGCCAAAAATCGACTTCTCAAACACTTCTACAATTAGTGCTCGACCCCCAGTGAACATTTTTTGGATCTGAGAATGGCATTTGCCAGCACTAATCTAGCACTAATTTTATAGCCCGGTCACGATACAAAAAAGTTTCATTTTCGGGTAGCTCTCCTGTAAAAGGGCCAAAAATCGAGATTTTACACATTTTTCAATTAGTGCTAGCTCCCTTTCGCAGCATAAAATTAACCGATGGTACCATTCGCCAGCACTAATTGAGCACTAAATAATGGTACCGGTCACATCCCAGCATTAAATTTGGGTGGGGGCAGCGTAACGTACCTTTTATTGTGTGGTTTGGATTCTCTTTATTTACGTGTTATTCCTTTCACTGATCGCTTACGACTAACTTATATATGTAAATGTAGAGAGAGCGCGCTGTCGTACTGACAGCCGCTCTGACAACCGTCCTGCTTGGCAACACTTAATATGTGGATACTTGAATGTCAACACTGCTAACATGACCATGATGGACCGAGATGGTGTCCATGTTCTTCTCCGATCCAAGGCCTTTCATATGATACCCATATTGACTATTCATATGTGAAAATGGTATTAAGTCGTGTTAACTCGACCATGATGGACCAAGATGGACCAAGATGTTTCTAGGAACCTTCTCCAGACCAAGAGCTTTCCAATGGTATCTTTGGAACCCAAATCGGATGAAGGGTTCAGCCAAACATTCGGGACATACATACATACAACTCTTTTTTATATATATAGATTCATTTAGTATGATTTCCCAGACCCTATCACAATTTATGCAAAAAGAGGTTAAAAATGTTAAATCTCTTACTTATTCAACTTCATTTAACTATCGTCACGATAAATAAGCAGGCAAATAATATGCTGAGTTTTGTTTACTGATTGGTGTTTTAACATAATATTTAGAAATCGAAGACTATTAAAATCCACATGAAATTTTAATAAATCGTGTTATTGAAAAGAGTATTCATCTTCTACTTCTTTTTCAACGCTGTGAAGCACAATGTTATTACATATATTCAACAGATCCAAAACCTTTCAGAATTCTGTTTGTCCCTATCGGAAGTTCACTAACATGAATCATGAATGACGTTTGAAATGCCATTTTTGACAAATACCATTCCCAATATTCGGGTAAACCTTGTGACGAAATCATTTGATCAAATTTCCAAACTCTACCGTATAGATGCCGCCAGAGCATCATTTGCTGAATATCTTCCATTTACGATTCATGTTGTTGTTCTTTTTATTTTTCAACAAGCTTTTAGTTTATGAATTTCTTCATTTCGAGTGATTTGAATGCGAAATGAAAATATCACATAACTTACCTATCAATTGTGTTGCTGAGAATAAAAATGGGAATACAGAAGTGTTTGAACTGAATAATGATGCTATTGAAGCGACAATTCATTTTTAAGAAACAAATTTCTTGTGGCACTTCAGTTCAAACACTTCTGTATTCCCATTTTTATTCTCAATAACACAATTTTTTCAATATAATTGACTTCGAATTGAGTGAAAGAAATTTCAAATGAAAATGACAAGTAGCAAGTGGAAGAAAATAAATTCATATTTCTTTAAGCAAAGCATTTTAATAAATATTTGTAAAACTCATGCAAACACTTAATTAAATAAAAATTCATCGGAATAAATAGAAAATTAAATAGCTTAATTCTAAACAATGTTTTGATTCAATGGAATATTGCGTGTATATGCATTTTGAACTAGAAAATCTGTGTAAAACCTATATATTTTTTTCCAAAATATAATAATCAAGGAGTGGAAACGTGTGTAAATGGAATATACATGCCCTGCTACAATACAATTTTGACTGATGTATGCAAAATAATTTAAACTTTCAATTCTTTGGCTATTTGAAAAAAAGGATTACATGTTTCGTTAAAAATGTTTGAAAAAAACATTAACTTTGTATTTCGAGGTTCATCTGATTTGGATGGTTCCAATATTGGATATGATCTGGGGCTTACGAATAAATCGTCATTAAAATCATTTCTTCTAGCGTCAATGGATTCGCTTTTGCCTTTGCATCTAAACTGTGGAAACGCTCTGCAAATAGTACACAAATAAATTGTTGTAGTTAGAGGATAAAGACATCCATCGATTAAGTATCAATTCAACCGTATGAAGTTCATTCAGAAAAATATACCATGCGCCAAATGAAGTCGCGTCATCGACATCAGATAACCCTCAAGCGTAATGAATCTATTGCGTGCAAATCGTCCAACAAGTGCTTCTATCACTTTATTACTTGCGGTCGCTCCACCAGCCCACAGCAAACTCCGTAGACTATACGATGATACTTTGACGTTCCAAGTGCTTCGGCTGAGCGACAATGTACCAACGGTGCCACAGCGACGGAATGCAGCCTAATCATAAACAATACAAGTATGAAATGTCTGACTTTAGAAGAATAATTTTTTTTTATTTCGAGATGAACAATTGAACATTTTATCACTTGGTCAACTTTTTCCGCTTAAATTCATGGAAAATAACCATTTGAATGACAATTACACATTAGGAAATTTCAAATACACAAACCTTCCAGAACTTGAGTAGATTGATTAAAATTGGGACATAATCGAGGGATAGTCTGCCTCCAAGCCCTGGATCGCGTAGCGCCAATAGCGATCGACATAAATCTAACGATGGACCTCCAATGGTTCGCAAACTTCGCAGCGTCCCACAATAAATACTTCGAATAATATACTGTAGCTGCGCTGCGTCGATTTCAGGTGGATAACGTGAACGAAGTTTGTATAATAAACGTTGCTATTTTTGGGGGAAAAGATTTGAAATGTGAGTTACTCGTTCATTTTGCCAATAATAATCAAGATTGACGTACGTATTCAACACAACGATCATCGCCAAAATCACTTGAAATGCTGTGTACAACTAAATTATCTTCATTGATTTCCCAAACATCGGCATGTTGATCAGCCAGAATTCGTAGGAGAAATTTCCCTTCACGATGTTGAACACTGTTTGGCATCACAACAAAATCGCCAGCTGGCAACGCAAAAAATGTGGCTACTTCACGAGCATTCTGCAGCGGCGCATGATCCAACGGCATCTGTTCACTCGTATATTGTGGTGTTACTCTTGCCATTCCTAAACTCGTATTATTTCCATATTAATAATCAAAGATAATTATTAATAATTAAGATATTGAATCCAACAGAGAGAAGCTGAAAATATATCCATTGATGTGTACCTGGTGGAACTTCGTATATGCAAAAACCGACTTGTTCGTCCTTTTTTCCGGGTCAGATGGATGAAGGAAAGCGAGAAGAAATGTGAGAAAACGGATTAATGAAAACAACAACAAAAGCACAAAACAGTTTGTCCATGCGATGAATATGTTTTTTTATATATTCGAATTCGAATTGAGCAATTCTTTGAAAGAAATTGGAACAATGGGCGACACAGTTGAAGGGACACACCAATCGAACATGTAGTATCCATTTTTGTACACTCTAAATTCAAAACATTGTGACCAAACAGAAATGAAAAAGAGATAACTTTATTTTCAATACTTACTTCGAACATGCGACTGCGATAGCACTCATATTTTTGGGCAACAGCGACAACAACATGTGCTTTAGAAGGATGACCGCTCGGCACCCGTATTCGAAATTGTGGGTTCGTCGCATTTGTTTCTATACACACACACAAACACATACAGAAAAGAAGATATTCAGACCATAAGTATCCATTTTTGTACACTCTAAATCTAAATTCAAAACATTGTGACCGAACCGAAATGAAAAAGAGATATCTTTATTTTCAATACCTATACACTTATGTGGTCCACCAGCATTGAATCCGGCTCGCCACGATCGAAATGCCAAAGCGGCACGCCATGGTGTGCGCGAATGGAGCCCCGTTTCAAGTGCCCAATCATCGGGCCCGATGTGTGCAAGCCATATTACTGAGAAGCGCTGCAAAAATTCCGGCACGGCCATCCTATAAACAACAGCAAAACACAGACACAGACACAAAACATTGCATTTAATAAACGGAACCAATGAAGCAGAAATGAAAAGCAAACACTAACGCTAAATGATCACAGATCACCACTGACATCGATTTAAAACAAACAGTGAAACATTTTCTTTCATATTTTTTTGCTATGAATTAATGAATTAATTTCAACGGCATCACAATGTGCAGTCGAGAGCTGCACTGCAATCAAGTATATTTGCGGCAAATGCACACGGGATAAAAGACAGAGAGTGAGAAAAAGTGAGACACACGGGTAAATTGAACACGACGAATTTTCATAGAAAATAACAAAAGCAAATACACACAAGTTCAACCACTTTTATCTAGCATGCTCATCAAAAGGTGAACTACTAACCATGAAATACCTTCAAATGGACGGCACATCGTTGTCGTTGTTGTGCCCGCGTCTCGTCGGTAACGTTTGCTAAACGATGTGTTTCAAAGCAGCAAACAGCACACGAACGAAGACGAACTCATTGAAGAGTGCCGGTTGATTATCATCGCTGCATTGCAATGAGCATTGAGCAATGAGTAAACGATTCACTAACAATAATGTGAAGGCAAAAATTGCCATTTCACCATTCGCAATCAAATTGAATGGATGAGCGTTCAAATTGCGATGCACCCCAAATACACTAAAGACGTTGTTGGATGTTTGTGCCAGAAACGAAAACATTCACGAAGTGCACAAAGAAATTTATGCAAATGAAATGCCAAATTCATTGCAATTAGGATAATGAGAGTAAAAGTTGGGAAGGAAAACGAGAGAAAATGCTCTTGGAACGTTGATCGTGAACACGGCCGCACGATACCCTTCAATCAAATGAACCTGTTTTCTATACGACATCAACTGGAGCTAACAAATTAGTCAGTTTTTGTTGTATATGTGCGTATTGTACTGTACTCTCATTGTTTTTTGAAATTAATTTTCGTCTTACTTTTGATTTAATTCAACACTTGCTCTTATTTATAGCTTACGAGGTCACCAGCACAATTGTGGTTCTATTCTGATTTGTACGATATTCTTATGACGATTTTTAACGCTACCATACTCACAAACACCATAGCATATAACGCCGTCAGAACAATATTCATCCGTACGTAATTATTTACACCAAGAAATTTCCGTTCGTGATTGTGGGTTCAATTATTTATTTCGCATTTTATTCGTTAGATTTGAAACAATCACATAAGTGTTTCCGCAACAAATAGGAATTGTTTTTCACGACTTCCATTCAAACCGATTAAATGCTTTTTTCGTTATTTTTTTTTTTTTTTTTTGGTTCTGGAAAAATTGCCCATTTAGTTTGATCCAGAATGTGGTTTGGTATGCGGCATTGAAAAATATATTATTTTTTTTTGCGTTTATTTCGTGATTACTTAATTCAATAATTTATTTATCCTGACTGGTGAACGAATAACAATATCAAGCAATCTTGAACAAGTTTGCATGTGTTATGATCAATCCGACCTCACACGAATACAACACAGACACAAACACTTCTTTGTACTTGACACTGACGCATAGTCCGCGTCGCAAAAACCGTGATTGCACAAAATAACAATTTACAAACGCAACAATAATAAACATAGACAAACCTGAAACCTAGGTACGAGATAACGAGATTCAAACAATATCGTTAAAGATCCGGCTGTGCGTTTCATTTGAAGTTCTACAGTGGTTTTGGTTGCGTGCATTGTTTTCATTCTTTCGTTCAATACATGTTTCGATTGGAAGCGTTTAGTTTCTAACTATTTTTTTTTAATTCCCAATCCATGTGAAACAAATATTCAACGGAATAATTTGCATATTGTGTGACGAAGAGGAGAAGATGATTTCAAGTTGGTGTTTAACGGTTTTTCTGGTGTTTGGTCCGTTTGCGATTTGCATGGCTCAAGATCATACGTCTGAGCCGGAAACGTGCTCGTTGATCGAATCGGTGAATAAGGTTCTAAATATAACGGCAACTATTACAGCCGAAATAGAAGCCACTCAATTTAGAGAAAATGCTCCGCTGAAGCTCGAATATGATTTTGTGATTATTGGGTCTAGCCCCTCGGGATGTGTGCTTGCAAATAGACTGTCCGAGCGAAATCATAGTGTTTTATTGTTAGAAGCTGGCTCTGCTGAAAATCCCATGATTACCAACGTGCCAATGGGTGCACCAAATCTGCAGCTTAGCGATTGGAATTGGAACTATGCCACGGAAGTGCAAGAAAATGCGTGTTTGTGTATGTATATTGCCTTGAATTGATAAGTAGAAAAAATAAACACAAAATTGTAGGAATTTCAGCAATGGAAGGTCAACGGTGCAATTGGCCACATGGTCGTGGTTTAGGTGGCAGCTCAATAATCAATTACATGATTTATACGAGAGGAAATAAAAGAGACTTTGATCGAATTGCTGCGGCTGGAAATCCTGGATGGAGTTTCGATCATATTTTACCGCTTTATCAGAAAATCGAAAGATCTTTGGTCGAACCCATGGACGATACCGATTCTTTTGGCAAAACGGGCCTATTACAAATCGAAGAAGCGAGGTTTCGGTAACTATCACCTTTTTTTTCATCAGAAAAGAAGAATATGGAACACAACAATTTATTTTATTTAGAACACCGATCGCACGTGCATTCGTAGAAAGCGCAATACGTTTGAATTATTCGCACGTGAATTACAATAGTGGTGATCAAATTGGCGTTTCTTATTTACATTCGTCCACTAAAAATGGTTGGCGCCAAACGGCTGCAAGAGCATTCTTGTCACCAATTCGAAACCGGCCGAATTTGGATATATCGCTACGGACATGGGCTACTAAACTACTGTTCAACGTAAACGGTGATCAAGTCAAGGCCATCAAATTCGTTCGAAATAGACGTGAATACACGGTTAAGGTGCGCAAAGAAGTGATCCTGGCCGCTGGTGCATTTGAGACCCCAAAGCTTCTGATGCTATCGGGAATTGGACCGGAGGAACACCTCAAAGACTTGAATATAAAAGTAATAAAGGTATGTTCTGTGTCGCATTATACACACATGCATAACATAATTGACGTCATATATTGGATATAATCGCATTTTTTTCGCTCTAAAAGTACGACGACTTTGATATTGATCTTGGAATTTCAAGATTGAAAAATCATTAAACTATTCTCAATCTATATCAGCACGATCGTTGATTGCACTGTATATTTCGCATTTAAAACGTCCATGACTAATTTAGTCGTTTTTAATCTTATATTGTAGAATCTACCAGTGGGACAAACTCTGCATGAGCATATGGCGGTTTTCGGACCCATTTTCACGGCTGACAATGTTACCGATGGTCTTGTCAACATGAATGATGTTCTTCAATTAAAGTATGGCTTAAGTCTATTGGGATTGTATTCGCCCATAATGCGGATCATTTGTAATTGAATGCAGACAATACTTAGAAATCATAAACTAGCCTATACTATAGAGCTTTGTGCATATATATATATATTTTTTTTTTCAATTCAACTTATGAACGACAGGCCGACTCGGACAATGACCGGTCACTTTTGAGTTGAAGTTGTTTTGATTGACACATTGTATATCTATATTATTATAAAACTTGTACGTACTACATAATATTTGTGGAAGCTTTACATAACCTTGCCTTGTGTTTAACCGGTTTTAATATGATTTCTAAGTGTCGTCTGTATTGTACTTGACCTCTTCTTCTTCTTTATTTTTTAAACTCGATTGAATATCGATCTTTGTCCATTGATCTTAGGCCAATATTTGAAATGTTGGAAGGCAAAGGACCAATGACATCAACAGGCATTGAATCGTTGTTGTATATGAAAACGAATAATTCCATAAGCTCAGATCCTGGGTATCCTGACATTGAACTACTGCAATCTTTTGCTACTATAGCATTTGACACTTGTAATTTCTTCTTCCAACAATTGCTTTTACTTTTATATTTGGATTGGCTTTAATTCGTGTTACTTTCAGCACAGGGTACACGCGAGGGAATCCGATTGTCTCAAGAAGCGTATGATGCGGTTTTTAAGCCACTTGAAAATCGGCGATCGTTTCAGGTGTTACCAATGTTACTTCATCCGCGCAGTAAAGGCCATTTGCGGCTGAAAAGTCGAAATCCATTCCATCATCCATTGATGTACCCAAACTTTTTCGCGGACTCCCGTGATATAGACACATTGCTCGATGGGATTCGTGAGATAATCAAAATCGCACAACAGCCAGAATTTAAAGCGCTCGGCGTAGAATTGTATAATGCTACATTTCCCGGATGTGATACAACCGAATTCAATTCCGATGAATATTGGCGATGCTACATCAGACATCTGTCGGCTACGCTTCACCATCAGGTGGGTACTTGCAAAATGGGACCGCATTCAGATCAAACAGCTGTTGTCGATTCACATGGACGGGTGCACGGGTTCAGAAATCTTCGTGTGGCTGACATAAGTATTCTTCCAGAATCACCGTCGGGACATACGGCTGCATTCAGTTTTGTGATTGGCGAGAAAATCGCTGATATCATTCGCACTGATTCGTTACCAAAGGAGTCAAACATACAAAGATTGACACGAATACGGAAATCTCTTGATTGGCTATACCAGGACCCGGAGCACACGACAGAAGTCAAACCAGTCACAACAACTGCAACCAAACGCCTAGTGCTGAATCAACCGTTTACAACAGCCACTCCAAAGCAAACAATGAATGCGGATGTGATGCATGCACTGCATTCGTTGAACATGTCCGCTATACATGAAAATAGTCAACAATTTAAACACTCAACGGTTGGTGATGTTGGCGTTATTCTATGGGGTTCACCCATGGTGACAAAAACAATAGACTTCAAATCTAAATTGGCTGAACTTTCAAACTCAACGAGTGCCAATGAAACAAAACGCTTTGAATTGAAACAACGAATAATAAAACCGACCAGTACTACTATAAAAACTACCACATTGCTTGCGGTGACCGAGAATTTGATTGAATCGGTGACTGACGAAAAGAATAAAGAGGAAAATGATGACGAGACTAAAACTCTACTGACCTCGTCTTTTGAAAATGCAACAAGATCAAACGAAACTGTTACAATAAAGGTTGAACCGGTTGAAAAGACGACCGTTGAGTCATCAACAAAACTGTCTAACATGGATAGGATAATGGCCACGGCGCCGTCACTCAATGAAGATGCAGTTAATACTTATAAATTGAAGGAAATTGAAAAGCGTCGAAATTCCAAGGTCAAGTTTGCAAAAGAATACCATTCGGAACCTACAAATTTAACAAGTGTTCCAAATGAAAATGCAACAGATTCTTCTATCGAAAATACGACGACTAAATTGCTGCACCAAAACATCGAACCCACAAGTTGATATGAGTAATTTGAGTGAGAGTCAAGCCAAGAAAACTGCCATTTGATCAATGTGAATGTTCCAAATTAATATCAAATATAACGAAATAAATTCCTATTTCATTGTGTAGTATACGAATTTTCTTTTTTGTTAACTTACCAAAATTCACCTTCGTGCTGTGATCGGCTGGCGAGCAATTCGCGATCTCGATCGCTCAGTGCATTCCACTCCCAACTTCTCTCTGACCAAGCGCCACCCCAAATTCCACCATATTCTGAACCAGCCCATGGGCTTCGTAATCTAACAAGATTCGTATCATGTAGGGCATTGATGTTATTCTGTGAGTCCATGGCTGATTGTGTTGTCCGCACTCGAGCAAGTCCAGTTACACAATACGGATGGTCTGATAATAAACCGGATCGACGATGTTTTGTACCCTTTTCCTGAAAATCAAAAGGTGCAAGCGAAAATGACAAATGGAATCGTCGTTTTCAAACGTAGAACTCACCGTTCCAGTTATAGCCAAGAGTAATGTTGATCGTGGAACAGCACCTCCCAATAATGGCCCAGATGGCGGAACGCTTTGTACGACAGCACCAGTTAAATCTTGCAATGCCCGGCCAATCGAACCATACTTTAAGAATGCATATCCTCCATACAATTTGGCATAAGCTTTTTCGAGCAATGCAGCCCAGTAAATGTCTGGTTGGGCGCAGTGCATGTGAGCGGGTCGATCACCACGCGTTGGTAAACGGTCATCAACTTTCACTTCGATCCAACGACCCCATTGCCAAAAACGAAACCTGTGAACCAACATGAAAAGAAGAATGAGAGAGTAACATCATTCAACATCACTAAGTACAATGAATGCCAGTCAATGTGGAGGAAAGGCTAATTTGCCATCGTTCTAAATTCAGCAGACAACATCCAACCACTGAATGAAATCCACATTTTTCCTCAAATAAACCACACTTTTTTGGAATTGTACCAAATCTGCCAATTTTTATCCGTTTTCTCTCATGTTGTTTCGATTTAATTTCGTTGCCTTATAAACGTGGTTGAACTTGATTCAACTACAAGACAATCTCTGTGTCGTTGGTTTTGCATTCCGTGCTAGTTGCTTAATAGTAGTTACAGTGTGTGGCAGACACAGCAAGCACGAAAATGCTTAACGATTATTAACTGAATTTGAAATACAAACAGCAATAGAAATCAGTTAGATCATGAATTGAGTCATCGAAATGGAAATGCCCATGCCCATTCAAAGTTTTAATCTGAATCGATTGTTTGTGTGTTCATTCAAATCAAGATTTTGTTTTGTTTGTATTCATTTTTTTTCGTTATTCGATGGTAGCGTTTTGTGAATGATTCACACGCGATGCACATTAATAGACTCTCTTTGCATATCACTTAACGAACCATATTTCATACACATTTTGTTCATCCACACCCAGAATCCGTCCAAAATCATAAATAACGCATGCTAAACAACACCGTTCGTTTTGTCTCACTCACTCTTTTCCACATTTGGACAATCAACTAAATTATAATATCGTTTATGGTAGTTGAAGGTGTGGTTTTCACCAATAGAAATTATTTATGATTGCATCGAATAGTGTGTGAACATTGTTGGGTGGCATTTATCCATGTCAATATTTCATTTAATTTGTGCACTATCTCTTGCGCTCGCTTCCAGCTGACAACTTGATTGTAAATGAATAAAATTGATGCGCGTTTCGTTTGTTTGCCGCCTTATCTTTTTCTTTTCGCCGGAATCCGCTTTTTTCGGTGGAAATCTGTGCGTACTGAAATCAATTTCCTATGTCACGCGGAACTCGAACGCTTTATCAAAGTTATGGGCTCGTTAGCTAAATAGTAGAAATAAAATGCTAGAATATAGAAAAAAGACTATAAATATATATATTGATGATAGAGTGAGAGTTGAATAACCATCACGTCGTTTGAAATATATGTTAGTGACGAAGAAGAATAACAACTGGCGATCAAGAATGTATGGCCATAATATTTGATGGAAAAACGAGTTGTCTATAGATACAATGCTAGCATATTCTCGCAGCCATCATTTACAATATGGATTATTTTTTTTAGCCATATTCGGGCTCGTAAAATGATCCGCGTCTGTAGAAAGTCAATGAATCATCAGCGGTTTTGGAAAAGATTGCAAGAAATTGTTGTGCAGCGAAGTGTGAAAAACCAAATTGAAGATGATTCGTTTGCTCATTTGAAAAAGTCCCAAATGCACAATCATTCAAGTTATGTTGCACAATGCGGCTAAGTGATTGTGTAGGTGTACACCGGTTAACCACATTGTCATCAAATAAGTTGTGAAATTTCCGAGCATACATATACGGAAATTGTATACGATTTCAGAATAGTGTACATTACATGGGATTGCACGATGTCTGATTGGTTTGCAATGCAGACTCTGCATCAACATAGAACCTCAAGAAGCAATGAAAAAAGAGTATTATCTCTGGAAAAAAAAGAGAAAGTAGAACAATGAGCGTGTATGATCTTCAGCCATATGACTTTGACTTGTGATCCGCTTAAATTGCACGAACGTATTTGCATGCGATAGACAGAAACATCGAGAAGAGAAGCACGGTTCAACGATCGGTTTCAAAACGATATGAATACAGAATGAGAGAGAGAGAACATCACATTTACAGCTTAATTCCAGTGCATGTTTGTTTTTTTTTCTGGGTGTCTGGGTTAGCCGACTAATGGATTTTATCGGTCGAAGTACAGGCACATATGTGCAGATGATATGAGCACGGGCTCATCAAAATATGATGTCTTCATTAATCTCGGCTCGATGTGACGAAACAATGGGAAATATACGAGCACAAGTATTCCACACACACACACATACAAACACATCAATAGCTAACAGAAAGAAGTCCCAGTCTATAAATTTGTGTGTTGCGCCTACTTATTTTGCCGTATCTCAATTATTTCGAATGAGCGAGAAAAACAAATTCGAACAAAGGAAAGAAAAAACGAACGAAGAATAAGTTCTAATTAGAACAGCAAATGCGAATAGCAGCAATTGTTACAGATAAATAAAACACCGACATTTGTTTCTTGATACGATTTTTATGAATGTCGGGTCGGATGAATCCATACAATTTCTTATTCACAACGGTTGCCATCGAACACACAATCAAACCGCCAACCCGATGAAAAACAAAAAGATGGCACAACCAACGGTATTAGTGCAAACTATTTCACATTTGCATTGATGTGGGCCCTATACTTGCTACTGCTGCAACTGATTTCGAATGCTGCTGTTGCCGTTGCTGAGCTATTTTTGCTTTCCTTTTCTTTCACCTTTCATTCCCGATTGATGCTGTGAGAATTCTCTATCGCTTCATTTCGATATTAACTCATTTCTTTTTTCTTTTTCGTTCCCTTTGCACATCGCAAAGATGGCAAGTGCACAATGTAATCGGAGAGATGTAGTTCAATATATCAGAAACACATTCATATTTAACGGAACATAGTATCTTGCCATTGTTTTACCAATGCGGCACTAATAAACAAACAACACGAATCTGACTGTATTGAATGTCATCGGACTGAAGCAAAACTACTGAATTTTTAGATTTGAATCGTTTGATTGTGGTTAGGCAATGCAAATATTATTGCAATGAATCGCGGCGATTTAAGATTGGGAAAATACATTCTTCTTGAAATCAACAAATTATCAATATTCGCGACATAGGTAGAAGGCAGAGATTGTAAAATTGCTTTCGAATGGCAAAAATGTATTTGTTTGCACACAAATCGAAATTTTTCTTATGAAACTTACCTGAACATGCCACAGTAGCCATTGGCTGCATCAAAGGTTTGATCGGGTGGCACAACGCTGAAATTCGATCGAATAGAATGGAACGGAATGAGATGCAGTTCTTATCCATGTGATTTGAGTTGTTTTTTTCACTTATGCTATGCATTTGGCTTTATTTTTGTAATAGATCATTTACCGTTCCAACAATCGAGGGAACTGAGACAAACATCCGATTGCGGCGAGTAGATTTGGATCGCCCGGTCCAACTGGTTCGGGTAGTTCTCGTGTTGTTAAAACAGATCCTCCCATCGACAATCGAAACTGAGGGCGCGACGACATGTCCTTTGTTTTGTAGAATGATACAAAATTAAATCCAATCAATAATTATTTGTGCTAGCGACAAAACTTTTGGTTACACAAAGTAAACGAAACACTTCCCAAATTTTTCAGAACAAAATGAAGCACGAATATTTTGTTAATAAAAACGAACAACAAAATTTGGTGTCATTTTGCTTTGGCGACCACCAAATACGCTGATTTTATTGTATCACATTCGATTTTCATTTCATTTGAATTCACATCGAATCCAGGAAAAAAAACTTACATGTGGTCGCATCCATACGATTGGTTTACGTCGTGACAATGATTTTGTGTAATTTGGTGGAAAGTCGGAGTCTTCGTGCAGGCCATTGCCGGATCCACGTGACAAAACACCATTACAATGTCGTATATTATTTGGTAGAGTCCCGTTTGAGATGGCTTCAATGGATCGTGGACGCGATAGCGTTGACATGTGATCAATTTGTCCATTTAAATGTGTTCCACCGTTTGCCCAAGACCGCATTTTTAAGCCACCGTCTGTTTTTATTCAGCCAAAGAAACAATGCAAATAAAAAAAAAGATAAAATGATAGATTCGAAATAAAATCAAAACCAAATAAAACATTGTAACCGTCAATCGACCAGTAAAGATCGAATAGCAAATAACGGAATAGCAATAAATAAGAGATTTGCTAATTCGTCCGAAAAAGGAGAAAAAATGTACGATGTAATTTAGTTGAACAATATGTCAATGTGAACATGTGTAAAAATTCACCGATATTTCTCGTGAAAGAAACGATACTCGATAAGGCAATAAGAAAAGGTACAACTTCGGAAAGGTTAAAACAAGCAAATATGCTTCCATGTTTCGACGGAAATGTGCAATAAGTCAAACGGACAATATCCAATAGCGATTTTGTGTAACAGCATCGATGTGACTGGATAGTAGGTACAGGCAAACCAACAACAACAATAGCAAAAATAATAATAGTAGAAGATAAAGGGAATAATAGATTTGTACCTGTTTGCCATCAAATTGCATATGCATTCAACTGGTTTTGTATCACACAACAAATGCAACACAAAATCGATATGGTTGATTACTCTTTTCACCATAAGCAATCGTTGCACAGAGACACAAACAGAAATTTGAAAAAAAAGGTAACGTAGGTAAGAAAGGAAACAAACAGATTGTAGTTTTGTTGCCATTTATTACTTACTAAATGCACGACGGCGACAACAACAGCAACAAAGTGATAGTAACGGTAATTCATATTGTGCATTTGAATGTGAAGAGCAATATATAGTAAATATAAACATAGAAAAAGTGCAATTACAAATAAACTGTTTATTTATCGAGGTTTGAAGCTCAAACCATGGTGGTACACAAAGGCCAGTTATAACAATATAATACAACGGCGACGGGAGGAAAAAGGCATTATATCTGGTTGCGCGTGTAATTGCTCACTTGCAGATGAATGTTATTAGCATTGAACACACAGCAGTAATTGTGTGAACTGTGCGAGTATGAAGGAATTGCATGCGGTAACCAGTTCCGATAATGCTCATCAAATGCGTTTCATCTCCTTCTTCTTCGATTTTTGTGCGTTTTTATTACAGAGTTTGGCTTTCGAGATTGTAAGCGATAGATCGATCGATTATTGAGCAACAAAATTTTTTTTTCCTTACGTACCATGAACCTGCTATGACACGGCATGAGCAAGCGGTACATATTCAGCACCGAAGTGCCCGGCCAGCACACAAACTACACGGAATTCGTCGCATTATTAACCAGCTCTTCAGATTGACTGAGCAATCATCCAAACTGGTTGGCCCCAATAGTATAGCGTTTCGAAATCAAAATATACTCAAATTTGTAAATTCGTCGCCTTGCGAATTATAAGAATCAGCCAAAAAAAAAAATTCGACGACCGTCTATTCACACTGTAGCACCGCTTAGTCTCTCTCTCTTCCTCTCTCCTACAACAGTGATGAACATGTACATGCACAGTGGCAACGATTGACACAGACGACAACAAATACAAATGAAACGCGAGCATCGGAAATATTCGGTGTGTTTGATTGTATACACTGTTTTGGCTACCGAATACACCATATCTCCAGTATGAATTAGGCAATGACTGAACGAGGCTCGCGTTCTATATCAATCGATTGGTCGCCATTTTTATTTTTATTTTTCACAACGCAAAGTGGATATTCTCCGTAAAAGATTCGGCCAATAAATCAAAACGGATGATTTAATTCACATCATCAAAAATATCGATGATGCGGATTTCCATCGGAATTTCAAGTTTAATAAGTTGTTCTGCTATTGAAGACACTTCAGCTCTACCACAATACGATGTCTTATAAATACCGTAAATGATAATTGAATGCTAACTAATACACATCGAATACAAAGAATTTGCACAATTCAATACTCGTCTATACGATAAAGTGTGTGCGATATAATCGGCCACTCGCATCGCAGAAGAAATCAGACTAGTACCTCAAACTGTATCGATAAAGTTTCTAATTTTCTATCTGTAAGGCATGTGTAGTATGCGTATCAATAAGTTCCGAACACTTTCTTTTGATACAAAGCGGAAACACTGACATATGTCAGAAACCATGGCAATTGATATTGGATGGTTTTACGTTTGCATCGCAAATTGCACTGTTTACGCAATGCACACATGCGCCACTCAGTAATAATGAACCGCTTTTAAACGATAACGTTTAAAATCACTGCAATTAAGGGCTCATAAACACTCGGCTGGTGTATTGTTAGCGGCTAGAATAAACTAGAGTAATGAGATCAAAGTGAAAACTGTTCATTAGAAAAATATAGTGAAATCGTTTTTCATCTATATAATTTCTCGATCAGTTTTTTTTTTATTTTTCTTCTTCTTCTTCACATGCTTGGATGTGTTAAGCGGAACGAGAATTTGGACTGGTCTGGCAATCAGAAACCAGCCGACTTTGCGACTGACAAATGATCCAATTTTACAATTAGAACTTGAACGTGTGGACAATTTATATAGAAGTGAAAGCGTTCATCTCAATCAACGTTGATGAAAGTTTATATAAATATCAAATGTCTTTAATTATCTCAAGTTAGAGGATGAAAATTGATGCCATTCATGGATCTCGGATTATCGAATTCAATTACACAATTTATTGATAGAAAATATGCCTATTTGTCGTTCTTGCGTACCAACTAAATGCCCAAATGAAATGCTATTTTCATTTGTACGTACTCTGGCGGATGCATTAAACGCTTAACAATAAAATTTATATAATCTGGCTTAAGATTACGGTATTATTATTCGGGCGCTCGGAATAAAATGAGCGTTTGACTATATATAAATTCAAATTAATTCGATTCGGCCAGATTTTCTTTCAATTATGGTAAAAATATGTGTTTTGAATAGACGCCGAAAGGACTTTTTTTCTCTTCTTCGTTTTTGCCATATCAATTTATTTAAGAAAAACAGTATGCCAAAGTGTTCGGCTGGATAAGCCATAGAATGGCTTCGGATCCTCATTATTATGCACTCACGTAATAAGTGAAAATAAAGCGCATTTGAAATCGAATGCAAAGCGAATGGAGAATAGCAAATGGGACTGAATGGGTAGTAAACATGTGCGAAAAGAATGTTTTTGTCGCGCCGATGCGCGTTGAAGCTCATTTAAATAAGTACGCCGTTTGTTAATAGGTGATAAAATTCAATACTTTAATTGATTTTCTTGTAGTCTTTTTTGTGCGCTCTCGAAACACTACACAAACCAAATCTTGATGCGATTTCGAATCGAAATTGGAAATCGTTTTCTTATACAAATTCAATATGCAAATTAAATGATTTTACCCAGCTAGACCAATGGTATGGTGTATATATTAGGCTAACTTTTCATGGCGGTCGTCATCTACGTCGTCGTCCTCTTCACCATCATCTTTATGCCTCAACACACAAGGTCAGTATTTTTACGCGAATTTTGTTTTAATTGGTGTTCTATCTTTTATCCATATTTGTCGATCATAGTCTCAAATGTTCAATATTTTGGATTTTATAATTTATGAAACAATCTGGCTAATTAAAATATTTCTCAACACGACGACTAAACATTTTATTCATTTAAATTAATTTATCCAGCAATGTATCAAATCAGAGGCGGCAAATGTGTTCTGTCAACGAAAATGGAATATTTTGGGCAACCAATTGAAATTGAAGATGGAACATTCTCGTTCGACGGCCGGACTCTAATTAGAAATCATATTATAAACTTGTATTTGGGTCATTCAAATCATTCAATTCTTCTACCGCTTCAAATCAATTTTCGAATTTTTCTGGATCAGAAGGGAAAAAATCGACAGTCTGAATGTGATACAGCGGTTTATCTGGAGGTATATTTTTACATCCATACTCAAACTTAGTTTGTATATATAACGTATGGATAACTCAAGGATATTTGGTTTCGTTGACGATCCCTGAACAAATAAACACAAATCGTTGTATTTGTGAATTGAAGCCATCAGTTTGGATAGCTGAACGTTTGCACATCAATTCCATAGATAATAATTATTATCTATGTACAAAAAAGCGTATTTTGGGCAAAAATTGCGTACGTAATGTCACGTGTGGAGTGACTCAAGATGCGATGAACGAATACAATACCTGTATCAATTTGGTAAATATGTTCCACATGAAATGGATCTCGAGAGTATCAAATGAGTAAATGAATTCTACAACGGAATTCGTTTCCATCGAAATGCAATACATAAAGATGGAAAAAAGAGAGAAAAAAATCTTTACGTATTTTTTATTTTCATTTAGAATACGATAATTCATTTGCGTTCTTGCGCTCGCAAAGTTTACTATGGATATACATTTAACTAGCCCATGCTTCTTTGCTAGGGGTTGCACGTAACTTGAAATTCATCTAAAATTTCAATATTTCTCTTTTTTCTCTCACATTCTCAGGGATTCACCAAAATCCCTATTATTTCAAAATATATCAATATTCACCTTGAAAAATATGTTCTGGATGTGGGTTTTGGTGGATCTTCAGGATAAATCAGACTGGGTTTGACAATGCCCTGGTCCATCCTGAAGATCCACTTCCAGAACCAGGAGCGGTTTTGAACAATCCTGAGGATCCACCAAAACCCACCTCCAGAATTTCAAGATTCAACAAATGCTTAGATATTCTCAGTTTATAAATAAAAAGAAGCAATATCTATAGATTACACATAAAATGATTATATTTCCAGCTATTTAGTAAAATCTTCGGTCTTCGAGTTTGCGTGAAACCCCTAGCTTCTTTGTTGTCTGTAGCCAATTGTAGATATTGAATCGTTATTTTTTCTTTGCTGGGGCAATGAAAAACAAAAATGAAAACGGAGAAGATATAAAATCAAATTTGCTGCGGTCTTCAAAACGAGTTATACATATATGAAAAGAAAATAAAATGCTCACAAAATTAACGAGGCTATGTCATAGATTCTTCTTTTCATATATATCGATTCTACTAGTTCTT